TCGACTAATAACCGGGTTCCTACTTACGACTGTGTGGAGTAAGGAAACTCGCCAGGATTTCGCCCTGCCTGGGAATCGAACCCAGGTTCCCTCGCTTAAATGAGCTCTGTTCTGAATTTGGTTGCAGGAAAGGTTTTTATTGCGAGTGGAAACACAGTCTAAGGTGAAGTGCAGGAGGCATTTTACTACTGAGCGCCATCAAAACGCTGATTATTAATAATAGGTTTTGTAAGTGATGAGAAGATGGTGCTTGGTGAGTTCATGCTGCCCACAGCTGTCTCCAGCTTCAGTGCCATGTCTGTGTATGAGATGGCTCAGCAGGTTATAATTCACACAGCAGCTGTTGTTCAGTTCATCTTTTAGATCCACTCGTAGCCCCCTCCCCCCTCCCTCCCCCCCAGTTAAAAACAGCACCTTTCAACCCAGCGAATATTAACAATGTAAGTGAAGAAACACAACGGACAGTGTGGTGCAGTCATTTCTCATGCCCCATGTGGTCTCGGGGCTAATCCTGTATGAAGCGTAGTTTCTGAGTTGATTTGTGACGATTATTTCTGATCCCCATGTCAGCTGCTTGCCGGGGAGTGTTGATAGCTCAAGGCTGACAAGCTGATCGCAATGCAGATTACCCTCACACCGAGTCTCTCGTTGAATCAAACACGTTTTCTGTACAATAAAAAAAAAACACCTTCCAGTGAAACGCTTTGAGATGCCTCAACGATGTGATAAAGAAACACATTTCGCAGTGGGGGCTGTCCATAGTCACGGTCATTTTTAAGACCATCATTTTATTAATAATCCTTGCATTTGATCGAGCGCCGTGTCATCTCCTCAGTCCCCTTAACCCAGTTCCGACTCCCAGTCAGTTATGAATCTCTCTGCGATGTGAGGTCCTCCCAATGGGAAAGGCAGTATATAAATGTAATTGTTGAAGTTAACCTCCGTCCCGTTCTTTTGATGTGTAAAAAAAGGATTCTCCTTCTGGTGTTGGCTTCTTGTCCTCAGTTGTCAGACTGAGCATCTCTATCACCACTGACCACTTGACCAGTTATCAGCTCAAAGTCCCAAGGTGCTGGACAGTCAGGGATTTGGATCCGAGCTGGGGTTTGGGATCAGGGGGGAATGGAGGGGAGAGAGGGTAGGGGTAGGAGGGTGACCGAAACTGAGAAGAGTACTACCAACTGAGCCAAAGTGTGGTGCTGGGAATCCTAATGGGAGAAAGGGGAACAAATAGCTTTTTTTAATAAACGGAGTGTTACCTGGTTGTACAATGTTGAGTTATCTTGTTCTGGCAGATTGGAACCAATGACAGATGGTGGAAGAAGTGCACTGTTTTTAGTCTTTAGCCCCGGGCCCAAACATCTAATTAATACGTTACCCAATTATTGTGCGGTTTGTCTTACACCTCAAGTGGAGTCGCTTCTTTTCTCTCATCAACCCACCACCCGAATGCAATTTTACGTGTTTTCCTTCTGTGTAACATCCTCAGCTTTCGTCATCCGAACCTCTTTTGTGACCTCAGTGTGGTCTTGTGGCCCCTCAAGCCTGTTCCACATACTTAAGTGTTTTATGGGTTTGATTCCCAGCCGGGGCGAAATGTTGGGCAAGTTTCCTTACCCCACACGCCTCTGCTTACCAGCAGTAAGTAGAAACTTGGTTGTTAGACGATTGGCGGATCGCTTTTCCGGGGATAATAAGCCCTTCAAAAAAAATTTTTAAATAATAATAATTTTGTCATGATGTGCTGTGCGCCATTGGCTGCTGCATTTCGCACACAAACTATACAGTCAATTCACTTCACAGTGTATTCGGTGAAGCGGTTTGAGACGTCTCGATGACGTGATCAGGCGCTATTAAATATAAAGTTATTTAAAATATTAAATATCAAATGCAAGGATTATTATAGGATTATTATCGTAATGTCTAATGAGACGTTATTCTATTGCAAAGGAGGGCTGTGCAAATGCAAGTTGTTGTATTTGCAAAACAATAAAAGGAAAGCTTTCCTTTCAGGTTTTCTTTCTAACTGCGAGGCTGTTTTTCTATTTCAGTCTCGCCGTCCCTCTGCTTGCAAGAACTCGACGCAGATCATGAAACCGTCGTGAAGATTTCCACTGCCGGACAGTGTGAGTTTCTCTCTGCCCCGATCGCACTAACGCTTCAAGCCATTCAATTTGTGAAGTCCCAGCGGTTTTAAAAAGAACCCAACACTAATCCCACCTACAATTACTGAGGACAAGTAGAAACTGTGACTGAAATGTATAGGCTTTCTGCAGATTGTCGAAAGACGAGCTGTTTTCTTTTCATGTTGTACATCGGTCTCCCTTGTATTGTAGCCATAAATCCTGGTTAAACAGCAGGCGTGTTGGAACAAGTGCTCACTTTACAGTTGTGTGTGAGTGTGTGTCTAAGAGCTAATAACCAACAACACACAGCTATAATTTACGGCTGGGCAGAACACTACGTCTGGGAATTTCATACTCGTTTCTCGTTCAATCTTTTTTTAAAAGAAAATCTTACGGCAGTTTTCCTCTTTCAATTTTACATTTTGCCCGTGTATGTTACTCTCAGAGTTCCCACTCCGCCACCTGCCACCATCGTTCTGTCTCACTCAGGCTGGAGGGAGAGCCAATTTGGTTGCTAACCTCATATCCAGGGGTATTAATCTCTTACAAAAAACAAATTTAAAATATAGGAATTTGGTCCCTCAATCCACAACTGTTTGTGGGACATTGCTGTGCGCAATTGGCTGCCGCGTTTCGCCCACAAAATATACAGTCAATTCACTTTACAGTGTGTTCTGCGAAGCGCTTTGAGACGTCTCGAAGACGTGATCAGGCGCTATATCAAATGCAAGGATTATTATTACCATCTGCTGGGCGTAGCACTTTGAGACGTTGACCTTGTGAAAGTTACTGCACAAGTACAAGTTGTTATCAACAGACACTAAGGTATCCAGTCACTCCATCTGATGAAAACACAGCAAAGCAAATCCCTAGGAAAACATCGAGTTCAAAGATCACTTGAAGCTGGGGTTTATCCCAGGCTATCGGAGTGAAAAATCTTCTACGGGAACTTTGGTAGTCAACTTAAACTTTGGACGCAAAACATATGTTTGTACAAAAAAGCATTTTTAAAAAATGGTAGATTTTTCATCCCGATAGCCTGGGATAAATCCCAGCTTCGAGACTTATTTGAACTTGTTGGCTTACTGCATTTTCCCTGGCAGGGCGACACATTGGGCGAGTTTCCTTACTCCACACGCCTCTGTTTACCCAGCAGTAAGTAGGAACCTGGTTGTTGGTCGATTGGCGGATCGTTTTTCCGGGGATATTAATAGTCCCTTCAAAAAAATAATAATAATTTGGTCACTCAATCCACGGCTGTTTGTGGGACGCTGCTGTGCGCAATTGGCTGCCGCGTTTCGCCCACAAAATATACAGTCAATTCACTTTACAGTAAATTCTCTGAAGCGCTTTGAGACGTCTCGAAGACCTGATAAGGCACTATATCAAATGCGAGGATTATCATTATGTTATTAGTATTTTCGCCAGATGTTTGTTGGAATTCCTTGTGCTTGTGATATCACTGGGAGAACCTATTTCAAATCTGACAGTTTTACTCCGACTCTCCTGAAGAGCATTTCTCTGCAAACCACTAAGGGCCTCCTTGAAACCTCCCAGGAGAGAGAGTCTGTCGGCAGCTAAAATATAAACAGTTCTGCTTTCCTTCACTTTGAGTTGAGGGACAGCATGGCAAAGAGGGTTGGAATTTTTGGTGCTCTTTGCATTAATGTGAATTTACCGTAATCAGCAAGTCGTTGCATGGATGTGAATATGATAATAGCATAATAACCCTAGCATTTGATATAGCGCCGTATTACGTCTTTAAAGCGCTTCACAGAATGTATTGTAAAGCGAATTGACCATTAAATGTGAGCATTATTAATTAATTAATTAAAATCTGGGTTTATAAATGGCAGATAGAATGGATATGGAAAGATGTAAGGAATTGCTAATTGGTATAAATCCATCATCGTGCTTAACGGTATCCAACCAGACACAGTCTCACGTGTGAAAACTGGGGCACTACTGGAGAATGGACATAAAATGATCATTGGGGTTGAGTGCGAAACTATAAAGAAGATGTTAATTAAAAAAAGGATTTAGCAGCAGATGCAAACCATAACGTCAAAACATTCTTCCAATATTATCGGTGACAGGATAGTCATGGAAGGAGTTACACCGTGTCAAACATCCAACACACATTGTGTGAGCTCCGGAACGTTGACGTTAGCAGAGGTTTTGGATAACAGCTGAGAGTAACACAAGCTCCTGTCGATGGCAGACAGTAAGCTCCAAGACAAAGCCCCCATCGCCTTATTTACCCAATGTGAATCGTAGCACCTGCTGCTTGACTCAAAGTAACATGGAAACCAATTGTAGAGTAAGTCGAGTCAGTAACACTGGGCTTCCCATCCTTCTAACTGAGGGAGTGTGTAAGAGGCAGAGTAAACCACAGAGGAATAGAATGGGAATGGGAGTGGGAGGGAGAATTAGAGGACCTTCTCTCTCAGAACGTGGCAGCCCTGTAGCTCAGTGGTTAGAGCCCTCGCCTCGCAAGCGAGAGGACCCGGGTTCGATTCCCGGGCAGGGCGAAATGTTGGGTAAGTTTCCTTACTCCACACACCTCTGTTTACCTGCAGTAAGTAGGAACCTGGTTGTTGGTTGATTGGCGGATCGCTTTTCCGGGGGAAATAATCCCTTCAAGAAAAGAAATGCGTTTACTCAATCCACGGCTGTGTGTGGGACGCTGCTGTGCACAATCGGCTGCCGCGTTTCGCCCACAAAATATACAGTCGATTCACTTTACAGTGTATCCGTTGAAGCGCTTTGAGATGTCTCGAAGACGTGATGAGGAGCTGTATGAAATGCAAGGATTATTATTATTATTATTATAGCTACGCCTTTCTCAAAACCTGATGTATTTCTCTGGCAGTGATGCGTTGCTCTGCTGCCATCGATTTGCTGTTCCTTCTTGATGGATCGTACAGTATCGGCAAAGGAAGCTTCGAAAAGTCCAAGCATGTCGTGATCAAACTCTGTGATGCTCTAGATATCAATCCAGACAGGGTAAGTGGCTGCATCGTGCTGAGTTAAGATTAGAGCCAGATGTAACACTAAAAAATAATTGCATGTTGCAAGGACAATGTGTGAGTAAATAATAATAATAATAATAATAATCCTCACATTTGATATAATGCCTTATCATGTCACCGCGACGTCTCAAAGCTCTTCACAGGATACACTGTAAAGTGCATTAAAAAGATGAAAAGAAACTTCATCGCTGGATGTTTTTACCACTTCGACACTTTAAAGTCTCATTACGTGCTAAAGCTAATATAAAGCATCTGTGTGCGTCCACCCTGTCATTACGGTCTTACAATAAGATCAGAAATTAGTTTGTTTGTGTTCCTGCTTGTTGTACTGTAAGCCAGCAAATAAATACACCTTTGAAACACAGTGGGGAAATACATTTGTGCATAAAAAACAGCACGACTCGGAGGAGTGAGTCCAATTGATCTGTACTTCTGCTGTGTCAGAATTATGTCCAGGGTAATACACACAGTTACCCGAGCAACAATCAGGCAAACATCTTGGTTTGTGCCAAGGGTGTATATAGGTCAAGGCTTGGGGGCAGGGCTGGAAAACACAGAACATTGAAAGACGGGACTCAAAAGACCTTTCCCGTAAAGTGTGTTTTCTTCCGACGTGGATTAACGTAGCGCAGATTTCACGAGAAGGCTTCGTTCTCAGTGTGGAACAGATTGATTTGCAAGTGACAGAGCCTCGCCACTAACTCAATTGGAGAAAAAAAATCCCTGGTGTCACATTTGCAGGCAAAATAATTCCTTTCTGAACTCGATGTTGAACTGGGTTTTAAACAGTTGTCAGCTGCAACTACAAAACCACTTAATACTCTTAGCGCTCTGTACAGAATTGACTCCTGTTCATTGCAGTTGGCTGACATTCACAGCCACGGATGTCGGAGTGAGTTACAGATGCGTATGTGTAAGGAGTAGGTTTGTGGCCCAGTATGTACACATCAGCGTGTCTCGATTTGACACGTGTGACATACACAGGTGTGGAATAATAGACTTGGGGAGTTGATTCACGGTTCCAGGGTCAAAGTAGGTCATGGAAACATAGCGGACGGTGTAAATGTGCTTGGTTGTTTGTAAGCAGTGCAGATGTGCTAAGTATCATCATGTTTGCATTATCTCTAGCCCTTCCTTTGTCGTTAATGTGGCGATACAGGAAACATCTTGCGTGTGCAGTTAGTTGGCTTACTTTCATTTATTCCTCCCCCTCTTGTTCCCAAGACGAAACATGCAGCCACTCAGTTTTACGTATGCTAGCAGCCCCCGGCACGATCTCACCCAGATGATCCTTTCCTTGTGTGTGAGCCTAGAGAGGGACAGCAAACCTCAATCTTGTCCTCGGTTGACATTTACACACTCGTGCCACTTTGAGAGCAAGAATCTTGGCTCATTTCCCCATCCCCCGCCTCCCTCCCCCCCCACACCACCCCATCCTCCAGCCAAGGATGTTCACACTAGCTATTGAGCCCCCGCCATTATCCTGGCTGAGCTTTGTAAAGTCGTTTGCAAAGATCAACCTGTGATCTTCCTTCACTGTGAGGCTCAGTTCGACACCATGTGGTGCAGCAACCGAGGATTGTCCATACTATTACATTCCACGGCCCCGGTTTGGAGTTTTGAAGTGTGTTAAAGTCTGCCTCACTGTCTGGAACCAAATGGTCTGGTCATCATATCACTGTGCAATCTTACATAATAATGGTCATAAATATTCAGGTAAACATTCGCGTAAGTCGTATCAGTCAGGAGCTAAAGATGTAATCTGATTTGCATGACGTGGAGGCCTGTACCTCAGGGGTTAGAGCACTCGCCTCGCAAGCAAGAGGACCTAGGTTCGAATCCCAGGCAGCGCAAAATGTTGGGCAAGTTTCCACACACTTCCGTTTACTCAGCAGCGAGTAGGAACCTGGTTGTGGGTCGATTGATGGATCGCTTTTCCGGGGGTAATTATCCCTTCGAAAATACATGTGTAATAATTTTGTCACCCAATCCACCGTTGTTTGCGGGACGCTGCTGTGTGCAATTGGCTGCCGAGTTTCGCCCACAAAATATTCAATTCACTTGACAGAATATTCTGAGAAGCGCTTTGGGATGTCTCGAAGAGCTGATAAGAAGCTGCATCAAATGCGAGGATTATCATTATAATTATTATTATTATTATTTACGACTTAAGCAATTATATGGTTTACAAAGAGACGACTTATGCGAGTTTTACTGGATTAAAATTGTAGAAAATCTATGACGCCCTTTTGTCCCAAGTTAATTTCTGCGATATTCAAAAAGGATGCTGGTTTGGTTTAACAGCAACCTTTTGACAGCAACAATAACTTACATTTATACAGTGCCTTTCACACAGGTAGCATCTCAGAGCATTCAACATCTGTCTAATTAGAATGAGATTAAATTGGTTAAGTGAACCTTAGTATGTGCTGGAAATGTGCCTGTAACTAGATATACGTGTATCAGACGTGGCAACGCTGGTGCTCACTAAGACGGGAACTAATTGTACTGAATAAAGATTTTCTTAGACCGTCAGGAATTTGCCAGGAGTTTCCTTACTTCGGGTTTAGAGAGAAATGGATTTCGCGGTATAAACAACACCAGCCTCTGTGTAAACTTGTCAGAGTTGAGGCCATTTTATTTTGATTCTCAGCAGCTAACAGCTCAAGACTTACCCAAGGAGTGAGTGACAGCTAAAATACAACAACAACAACAAGATTCCATTTATAGAGCGCCTTTCACGTCGGGAGGACGTCCCAAGGCGCTGAAATAAACAGTAATAGAGAGAAAAATATATAATAATTTGATAACTGGAGTTTATTTCTCCTTTAACCCCTTTGCTGAACCACATCTTTAATGGGCTTAAAGGGTTAAATTACGAAGACAGTGGGATAAACTTGGTCTGTAATCGCTTGAGTTTAAGAGGTTGAGGGATGATCTGATTGAGGTTTTTGAAACAATAAAGGGATTTGATGAGCAGCTACAGAGAGACTGGTGGGGGAAATCCAGAACGGGGGCGGGGGGGGCAGTTAGTTGGACGAACGAACATTACATTAAAAGGATCTTCCCATTGCCAAGAGTTCCGTAAAATGTCACGTGCTTCGTCAGGCTGTGTTCATCCTGGAGGCACTTTCCTCGAAACTATCTGAGTGAGTGAGTGAGTGAGTGAGTGATTGAGGGAGGGAGTGAGGGAGGGAGGGGAGGGAGGGAGGGAGAGGAGGGGGTGAAGCAGTTGTAAAGCAGGTTATGTTCACAGATATAGACCTACTAATGTTCTGGAGCATTCAACGAAATGTCAGGTTGCTTTCCTGTGGCAGATCAGTGCACCCACAGACTCTGGGGATTTGTTGAGGGCAACCGGCTGCCGCGTTTCACCCACAAAATATACAGTCACTACACTTGACAGTATATCCTGTGCAGCGCTTTGAGACCTCTCGAACTCGTGATGTATCAAATGCAAGGATTATTATTATTATTATTATTAAAAAAGGTTAATCCTCCACTTTTACCTCGAAACCATCTTCATCTCCCAGGTCAGAGTTGGAGTAATCCAGTACGGTTCAAGGCCGAAATTTGAATTTTTTCTGAACTCTTACTTAACGAAAGAAGAAGTAAAGGAAGAAGTCAAAAGGATCGTATTTAGGTATGTTCCTCGTTCCGAAATGCGGCTCAATTTGATAAATATTTAAGGGATATGGCCAGCGTCTGAAGCCTTAATTCGTGTCTGTGTTTTATGTTAAGACAAGTTCTGCACTTTTTGTTTCGTGTCAATGCACTGATGCAATTTATCCTTTTTAAACAATCAAAGTTAAGGATCAAACCAGAAAACATTTCTTTTTCACCCAAACGGTTGTAGATACTGGGTGAGATGAATTGCTTAAGATGAATAGAGGAATATGGTGTTAATGCAGCACAATCCAAAATTACATTTGTATAGCACCTTTCACGTCGGGAGGACATCCCGAGGGGTTGGACAGTCAGGGATTTTGACCCGAGCTGGGGGGTGGGTGGGGGAGGGGTGGGGGTTGGGAAAAGGGTGGGAGGATGCAATGGAGGGTGGGGGTAGGAGGGTGGAAGAGGAGGGTCTTGGACGTGCCTTGAAGGAGGCATTAACTTAACTTAACATTAATTTAATGTTAAGTTGCAGATCAGCCCTGATCTAATAAAATGGTGGAATAAGCTTGACTGGATCCTGTTGCTCTGCTCTTTAAGAGTCGGATGTGCTAACCACGCAGCCATTAAAACATTCCATTTGTTATTAACAAATCATTCTATTAATGCAGTCTCGTTTCCTTCATTGACTTAGAGGTGGAAGCACACAGACGGGCCTGGCTTTGAAGTACGTTCTTCATAAAGATTTCCCAGGTGGAAGGAACTCGTCTGTTCCGCGAATTCTTGTCATTCTCACTGACGGCAAGTCTCAGGGTCACATTGTACCAGCAGCCACGCACGTGAAGCAAACTGGAATAACAGTGTTTGCGGTGGGTGTCAAGTTTCCAAGGTGAGGATCTATCTCTTCAACTGCGACGGCTCGAATGAATGGGAGCCTGTCACAATGAACTCTTCACTAATATCAGATGGGGCATTCCCAAGATTAAATACAACACTGTAATAATGGAGGCCTGTAGCTCAGTGGTTAGAGCACTGGCCTCGCAAATGAGAGGACCCGGGTTCGATTCCCAGGCAGGTGACACATTGGGTAATAATTTACTGCTGGTAAACAGAGGCATGTGGAGTGAGGAATCTTGCCCAATGCGTTGCCCTGCCCGGGAGTCTAACCCAGCTCCTCTCGCTAGCGAGGCGAGCGCTCTCATCACTGAGCTACAGGCCTCCATGAGAAGATCGGTGAAGTTTAACTCTTGCTGGTGTTTTGGCAGGTGGGAGGAGCTGTACACACTGGCCAGTGAGCCCAGCGAGAGCCACGTGTTGTTTGCGGAACATTTCGACGACACCGTCAACGGCCTTTACACCACACTCACCAGCTCTGATGTCTGCAATGCCATTCCCCCAGGTGCTGGTCCAGATTTTTCAACAAAGTAATAACAATAATAACCCTCGCGTTTGATGCAGCACCTTATCACGTCTTCGAGACGTCTCAAAGCGCTTCACAGAATGTACTGTAAAGTGACTGGATTGGGTATTTTGTGGGCAAAACTCGGCAGCCAATTGCGCACGCAGCATCCCACTGTTACTGTTGAAGTCTCTCCCTCAGTCCCTCTGACTTGCCCCCTCCCTTCCCACTTTCAAATCCCACCAAAAGACCTTCCTCTTTGATCGTGCTTACAGTCACCTCTCCCTCCCTCTCCCCCCATGCTCGGGTCCCGACACCTGACTGTTCAGGGCTTTGGGACGTCCTCCCGACGTGAAAGGCGCTCTACTAATGTCATTTTGTTGTTGGCGGTGGTGCGCTGTGTAAATGCAAGTTGTTGTTGTTCTGTTTGGGCTTTGAGCTCATAGTTTAACGCTAATATTCCAGTGTGTTACTGGAGGATTTGCTGCAGTGTTAAAGGTACTTTCCTTTGGAGAAATAAAGAATTGAAGCATTTTGATAAATGATTTCTTTCAGCTTGTAAACTCGAATCCCGATTCTGTGAACGTAAAACATTGGAAACGGTGAAGGAATTTAAAGGAAACTTCATGTGTTGGAAGGGATCAAAAGGAAACAATGGACCTTTTTCAACATTATGCCCTTATTATAGGTCAGAATTGTTTATGTCTGTGTATTTGTGTAACTGCACAATAAGAGATATGGCTGAGAAAGGTGACCAAAAAGTTGTGATATCTACCCGACATCAAAAAACAAACAGAAATATCATCTTCTTTAAGACTTATTTGACATTATAGCGGTGTCACAAATTTGACCACCCTGTATGTGGGCTCAGGTCCAAGGCTCAGCGCCTTGGGACGTCCTCCCGACGTGAAAGGCGCTCTATAAACGGGATCTTGTTGTTGTTGTTGTTGTCAGGTGATAAGTGTGCATTTCGATTGTACAAAGCCATATGGATTGTGATTTGGGCTTCCCCTATGGGACACTTATCACCGTTCTTTCTTTGGTTTAGCAAATCGTAGTTGAAACTTCTTAATGTCTCACTGTTCAAGGTGCAAACACAGCAACTTACATCCCAGTAAGAGAATCATATCTCATTAATATATGGGGGAGATATTCCATTTTGGTCCAGATCACTCTGTTCACGTTGCATTCCAAAGTGTCCAGAATTTGGCAAATTCTTAAACACGACCTTAATTTTGAAACTGGGTTTCTGTAATTTCTTGTTAAGAGCTACAGAAAACTTGACTTCAAAGTTAAGCCGGAATTCAACAAATTGTCAATTTCTGGGCAATCTAAAATGACATTGTATAATTAAAATCCTATATGTTACATTACTGAGAATGAAAGTGGTTTTATAAATACATTTCAAGAATTATTCTCAGTGGATTCAACAATCTTAAGTATTGAACCTGTTTTCCCTTGAATTTATAATTTCAATCTCCATCTCACAGATATCATTTTTCTTTGCAGTTGGAAACGTGTTTACAAAACACATCTTTCTCGGTGTTACAGAACAACTTGTCCAGGTATGAGCGCTTTTTAAATTGCCAACTTATATAAGGAATAACCAATTATTCCACATCTGCAAAAGATGTTTCAATATAAAACAGATTCCAATCCCCGATTGCAGCTCAGGATTTTCTATTCCGTGGATAAACTTACGGAATTTGAATCTTATTGTTTTATTTTAGGTTCTTATCCATATCTCATTAATAATCCCATCGAAAAAAAATAATAATAACTTGGCCACTCAATCCACGGCTGTTTGTGGGACGCTGCTGTGTCCAATTGGCTGCCGTGTTTTGCCCACAAAATACACAGTCAATTCACTTTACAGTATATTCTGTGAAGCGCTTTGAGATATCTCAAAGACGTGATAAGGCGCTACATCAAATGTTAGGATTATTATTATTTATTTCATTGTATATTTATTCAGATTCTATCTACTGATAATGTAAATTTCCAATTGATTATTATAGGTGCCGGTCAGTTTGAAGTGCTTTCTTTTTTAAGGGAACAGATTTATTGTACTAATGGATCTTATCAATGAAAATTCTTCATAGTGTTATTCCTTTACAGATCCTTGCGACTCACAGCCCTGTCAGTATGGAGGGACCTGCATCTCCGAAGGGTTTCAAACCTACCACTGCATCTGCCCAGCAGGATTCGAAGGAGATACCAGTTGTTGTATGTTCTTTGATGCTTATTTGGTTTTGAGATCTTCCGTTGTGGTGTGTTGGGTGAAAGCAATGCAATGTGATGTAGCATCGTATCAATTCAAAACAACTCAAAGCGCTTCACAGGAATGACTGTTCAATGTAGTGACCGTGTATTTGTCTTTGAGTGCCAACTGCAGCAGGCCATTTAGGTGGGTCGGTAACCAATGGACATAGATTCAAGATAATTGGCATAAGAACCAGATGGGAAATGAGGAGAATTTTTTTTTGCCGAGAGAGCTGTTACGGTCTGGAACGCTCTGCCTGAAAGGCCGGCACAGGCCCATTGGGCTGAATGGCCTCCTTCTGTGCTGTAATATTCTAGGATTCTAGGATTCTATAAACAACAGGAGGCCAATAACCAATGTAACTAGAGATTTTGTTGGCCATGACACCAGGCCGAAACTCCCTTCTCATAATTATTTATCTCTTCTGAATAATGACATGGAATCTCTAATCTCTTGCCAACCTGCACCTAAAACTCTATGGAATTAGGTAATTCCAGGGTGTGTCCCTCCTGGAAGAGAATGCACATTCCATTCCAGATAGAGTGAAATTCCTGTGTGTAAATGGCATACGTATGTGGAACTGTCAGCCTGGTTTGGATACCCTTAAGCACGGCAATAAGTTTCCGCATGTTTCAGTCACCCGGCTGACCAGAAAAAAAATCTCTAACGCCCACATGAACGGACAAGCAGGATCTCAGTGCAACGTTTCATCTGAAGGTCGGCACCACTGATAATGCAGTGTGTCCCAGGAACACTGCACTAATGTGTCGGACTGGACTATGAGGCCAAGTCCCTAATGTAGGACTTGAACCCATAGCCTTCTGAACTCGAGGCGAGATTGCTCCCAGCTGAGCCAAGCTGACACCCAGATTGTTTCATGCTGTTCCCTTTGTGTCCGGTTTATCATTAAAAGGTTTACAGTGAAAGCAAAATGACATCATAACCTGTGGAGTTCTCGCTAATTAAAATGTGCGCCTTAATCACACATTAGGTTATGTGACTGCACAGTTCACACTGGGTACAAGATGAACAGTTTTATTGTGTAAAATGGCAGCTGGCAGATTTTCGGTTCGAAACACAGACAGATGCAGATAAAACCATAGCTCCTTTAATCATTGTTTTGTGCAAATGTAACCTTGAAAACTGATGACTAGTTTGCTCGTAGTTCGAAGTCATCTGGGAGTGACTGCGAGTGGTGAAGAGAAGGTGCTGTGTTTGTTTCAGGTCTAGTTTTATCCAGACTCCTCCCTCCATAATTACAGTGTAGAAAATCTCTTTGCATTCACTGAAGAATGTCTACATTAAGTACATAATGTGTAGCCCTGTTCATCCGCCTCCTACCCTCATCTCTACCTTCCCCAAGCTCCATCCTCAACTCCAGAGAACTTTCTCTCTCAACCCAACTACCACCAGCCCATTGCCCCTCATTCTCGCCCATCTCCGCTAGCTCCCCATTCCCCAGCGGATCAACTTTATGACCCTCACCATCATTTTTAAATGCCTTCACAGTCTTGCTCCACCCTAGCTCCCAACCCCCAGCTCGGGTCCAAACCCCTGACTGTCCAGCGCCTTGGGACGTCCTCCCGATGTGAAAGGCAGGTGGTGTGTAAATGCCACGTGTTGTTGTTGTTGGACGTTGGCTGTATTTGTGGTAAAGCGAGTATTTTGCCTTTGAGCAGCTCCGCAGCAGGGCCTGGACTGCAGCGTGGACCTCTTGTTGCTGATCGACAGTTCGTCAAGTATGACCCCGGCAGGATTCCTTCTGTTCAAAGCATTTGTGAAGAGGTTCCTCCAGGCCGTGCTGACCGGAGAGCCTCCTGTCAACGTGGGAGTGGGACAATACAGCGACGAGGTCCGAATGGTCCTGCCTGTGAGACAACACGGGGAGATCCCTAATATCGTCCAGCAAATGGATTTGATGGGGTTCAGTGGCGGAAGCACAAAGACTGGCAAAGCTCTGCGATCCATCACGCAGTTTGGGTTTCAAGCCCCAGAGGGTTTCCCAGGCATTCAGAACGACCGTCCCCACGTCCTGGTTTTGCTGACTGATTCGGAATCTCAGGACGATGTGCTGGAAGCCTCCAGATATGCCAGAGAACGAGAAATCTTCATTATTGCGATCGGGAAGCAGGCTGTGAAAAACGAGCTGGACAACCTGACAGGAAACCCACAGAGGACCATCACCTACTCAACCCCACAGGGTCTCTTCAGTAAGATTCCTGATCTCAGGTCAAAGATCTGCAGCATTGACAGTCAAGGTTTGAGTTATTTTCTTCTCCTTTTAATTATAATAATAATCTTTGAATTTGATACAGCGCCTTATGACGTCGTTGATACAAAATTGATCTGTTTGGTGCTCGGGACCCAGTGCTGCCTGGTCAGAACTGGTGTGATTTTTTTCCAAAAGAAAAAATTGAAGGTGAAACCCAAAGCGTTCAGGTTAAGTGCTAAGTAGTTCCCCAGACCTTAGTGTTTGTGGGTAACAATCAGCTAAAGAATTTGACCCTCACGAAAAGTCGTCTCCAATCTCTGCAGCCGCCTCATCTCCGTCAGACAAAACATACCATTCACGATAACTCCCGCATCAGTAGAAAATGTCAGGAATGTGGCTGATCGACTGCGATAAAGTCCACTGGTGAGGGGTGGAGGGTGGGGGAGAGGGGGAATCATGGACAGCACACTGACAGGTCAATAATGTAACAAATCGATTTGTCACCTCTCGCAGTGCTATGATAATTAGCACCGTCAGTGTTAATTAACACATCACATGGCACAATTATCGCCCATAGCATCACACGTGTGCTGTGGTGAGAGCCGTTGTATGTTGAGCAAATGGAATTGTTATATGTTGAGCAAACGTTTCAAATTGCCACAAATTTCAGACGATGTAAGTGGGGACTGATGCCCATTGTCTGCTCTGCCCCCCCAGGGCTGAAAGGATCGGGGGTAATAACCCCTCCAAAAAAAAATTTGGTCACTCAACCCACAATAGTTTGTGAGACACTGCTGTGCGCAATTGGCTGCTGCGTTTCGCCCACAAAATACAGAGTCAATTATATCCCTTGAAGCGCTTTGAGGCGTCTCGAAGGTGTGATCAGGTGCTCTACCCAATGCAAAGATGATTAAGGATTATTGGTTATCGTGTCTACGTCTGTCTCTGCGCAGGGTGTTTGTTTCAGCCTCTGGATCTGGTCTTCGCTCTGGATGCCTCTGGCGCGGTCGGGAAGGACAACTTTAAGGAGCTGAAGGACTTCGCGCAGAGCGCCATCGAGCAGTTTGAAATCAACCGCGATGTGACACAGGTCGGCCTGGTCATCTACGGCGGGAGCCCCGTCACCGTGTTCGGCCTCGACGCTTTTGACTCGGGCACCAACCTCCAGATGGCCATCAGCGGGGCCCCTTACCTGGGAGGGACGGCTTCCGCCGGCAGCGCCCTGCTCCACGTCTACGACAACATCATGAGCATCCACCAGGGGGCGCGAGCGGGCGTCAACAAGGTGGTGGTGGTGATCACAGACGGGACGAGTACCGAGGACGCTGCTGTTCCTGCGCAGAAGCTGAGGGACAACGGCATCACCGTGTTCGCGGTGGGAATCGGCGATGTGCCCAGGAGATCGCTGCTCAGGATCGCGGGGTCTGACAGCTTTGTGGTACCCGTGCCATCTTACAAGGATCTCAAGTACTTTGAAGACATCGTGGTTCACAGAGTGTGCGAAGGTAACTTCATCAACTGCGTCCCTGCATCCTCTGGTCACCGCCGCATCAATGTACATTTTTGGTTAATGCTCATTAATAATAATAACAATAAGAATAATAATCCTTGCATTTGATATGGAGCCTGATCACGTCTTTGAGACGTCTCGAAGCGCTTCACAGGATACACTGTAAAGTGCAGTGACTGTATACTTTGTGGGTGAAGCTCGGCAGCCAATTGTGAAGGGCGCTACATAAATGCAAGTAGTTGTTGATGGTGATGTTGATGGTGTTGTGGTGGTTGTTGTTGATGTCTCTCTTCATTGTTCGGCGATTGAGTCCTGTAGCTCAGTGGTTAGAGCACTCGCTTTGCAAGTGAGAGACCTGAGTTCAATTCCAGGCAGAGGGCGAAACCTTGGGCAAGTTTCCTTACTCCACACAGAGCCTAATAATAATCCCTCCAAAACCAAAAACAATAATAAATTGGTCATTTTCAATCCACGACTGTTTGTGGGACATTGCTGTGCGCAATTGGCTGCCGCGTTCGCCCACAAATATACAGTCAATTCACTTTACAGTGTGTTCTGTGAAGCGCTTTGGGACGTCCTCCCGACGTGAAAAGCGCTATATCAAATGCAAGGATTATGATTATTATTATCATTATTATTATTGAACTAAGGGTCGTGTGTCAAAAAAGAGAAATGAATGAAAAGTTTTGGGACTCTTCCAAATTGCTGCCTTTCTGTCATCATTAGAGGCTTTTATTGATTCAATTCTAATTTGCTTTTGGCTTTGACCGACATTGTGGAATGTCAACCTTGGCCAGCAAACTCCCAGGCAGATCTGATAACCCTCTCGTAAAAAGAGACCTCAAAACCATCTCTCAAATTCCAGCCTTCCTTAGGCTGCTCAAACAGCGGTCTGTCTGATCGCTTGCGTGATACGAGATCATGATTCAGCTTGAAAGAGGTGAAGGCACCAGCCTGAAACCTGTTGTTGGATTGATCCAAGTTTCTGAGCCCTTCACTGATCAATTTATTTCTGCAGTGAGGAAGTTTTTTCCCCTCTCAAACATAATAAAAAAAAGATAATCCTTGCTTTTGATATAGCGCCTTATTGCGTCTCCTAGACGTCCCAAAGCGTTCCTCAAAGAGGTGATAAGGGGCTCTTACCAAATGCAAGGATCATTATTAGTACTATTATTTTATTCCGCTGTGGTGTGCATTTATATAAGTTCTGCGCTCCCCCCACTCCCCACCCACCTCTCCCCCGCACCGATCCTCTCTTCAAAAGGCACCAGGGTTGATTTACTGAGGAGCTTCACCTTTGAACGCTCTCCCTGAATTCACAACAAGTTCGTTGGAAGGTTGTTGGTGAGTAAGTGTCTCGGGTTTGAAACTGAGACTGCACTTTTGGATCGCATATCAAGGGATAGGATGTGATCAACAAAATATTCGCCCTGTTTAAAAACATACATACATGTCAGTCACTCACCCTCGAGCACAGTGGAAAAACCCAGATTATCATATCATATTTACCACCGTAGGGCTTCTGTTGATCCCTTTTCACTATATAATAGTAATAATAATCCTTGCATTTGATATAGCGCCTCATCATGTCTTCGAGACGTCTCAAAGCGCTTCACATAATATACTGTAAAGTGGAGTGACTGTATATTTTTTTTGTGTGTGCAAAAGCAGCAGCCAATTGCGCACAGCAGTGTCCCACAAACAGTCATAGATTGAGTGACTACATTTGTTTTTGAGAGATTATTACCCCCGGAAAGAGATCCGCCAATCGACCAACAACTGGGTTCCTACTTATCGCTGGGTAAACAGAGGCGTGTGGAGTGAGGAAACTTGCCCAAGGTTTCGCCCTGCCCGGGAATCGAACCCAGGTCCTCTCGCTTGTGAGGCAAGTGAGCTACAGGGCTCCACTTGCACTTATATCGCGCCCCTCAAGCAGGGTCGGGTCCCAGAGCCCTTAAAAGCAACAATAGAATAAGAAAAGCCACTGTCCAGCTCCTTGGGACGTCCTCCCGACATGAAAGGCACTATACAAATATAATGTTGCTGTTGTTGTCATGTGCAGGGGCAGCGAGACGCTGGGAAACTGATGATGTAAGGAAAAGTTAGGCAGATTCTCACTACACCCACAACAACTTGCACTTATATAGGGAGAAGGTGGCCGTAACCACGGTCGAAGAGGAAGGTTTTCAGGTGGGACTGGGGAGAGGGGGCAAGGAGGAGGGATTGAGGGAGAGCGTTCCAGAGTTTTGGGGTGTAGTGGCTGAAAGGGATGAGCAGGAGCCGCGGCCAGTCGAGGAGAGGCGGAGGTCGGTGGTGGATTGGGGAGTGAGGAGGTCGGGGAGAGAGGGAGGGAGGTGGCAGGGAGGGAAGGGAGTGTGAGGATCTTCTGGTTTTGCTTCTTCACGTTCTTAACAAACTCTCTTGTTTCAACAGTGGCAAAGAACCCGGTTCATCTGTGTAAACCAAACCCGTGTATGAATGGTGGGGAGTGTACCCTCCACAATGGGAGTTACCGCTGTGACTGCAAGGGCTGGGAGGGATTGCACTGCGAGCGCAGTAAGTACTTTGCATCCATACAGTTTGTTGGCAATATACCTTCTCTCGTTCTTCACTGGGGGCTTACTGTATTTTTCCCTCTTGCTCGCTGCGCACTCAAATACATTCAAGCAGAAACAATAATAAGTTAGACGTACAAATTAAGACGTACTGTGTATGTATCCTCACTCAAGCCACAGAAATGATCCTTTATTATGAAGAGCAAAGCATCTTTTGAGACGTCTCAAAGCGCTTCACAGAATATACTGTGAAGTGAATTGACCGTATATTTTGTGGGCGAAACGCAGCAGCCAATTGCGCGCAGCAGCGTCCCACAACGAGTCGTGGGTTGAGTGACCAAATGATTATGTTTTTGTTTTGAAAAACTGCATACTATAAAGTGTGGTCAGTGTATTTTGTAGGTGAAACTGAGAGCCTATTTTGGACGCTCACAAAAGTTTTCTTGTTGAGGTAAACTCCGGCGGTCCGTAACCTCACGTTAGGAACAAACCTTTTTGAAATCTCTTCTCAAAACGTGTTCTCTTGCTTTTCCCTTCCGTAGGAATCACTAGACTGGAGCCACGTGGCGATTTTCCTCGGTTCCCTCGAAACCACCGCAGGCAGCGAAAATTCCATCGCTTAAACCGAAGAGGTAAAATGCGACTGCGTAAGAAGAGTGCACACAAAAGGAATTAACGAGGCCACAGTTTCCAGCAAGACATAAACTCAGGACTTCACGTCAGGTTTTCAAGAGTCAATACTACATGGAAACTTTGATGGGCTGCTCTCATTCCACTCCCCAACTCATCCATTTAGAATTAGAGAAAGTGGGGGCAGAGGCTGAGCGATCTGTTCCCAGCTCCACAACAACAACAACAAGTTACAGTTACACAGTGCCTTTCACGTCGGGAGGGTGTCCCAAGGCGCTGGACAGTCAGGGATTTGGACAGGCAACGAAGCAATGGTTTGGGGGAAAAAAAGTCTCATTGATGACATGACACCTTCTCCACGTCTCACAAGGGAACACTATCGGCAAACTACCTTGGAACTACTGTTACTCTGCAATGTGTTTTCAATCAGGGATAATTCACATAATAACTGTGGGCATTCTCAACACAACTATGTCAACCTTGTCATGGCTCAACTCAATCTAATAGACTATAGTGGCATAGAGCAATAATAATAATCCTCGCATTTGACACAGCGCCTTAATACGTCTTCGAGACGTTTCAAAGCACTTCACAGGATATACTGTAAAGTCAATTGACTGTATATTTTGTGGGTGAAACACGGCAGCACAACACCATCCTACAAACAGTTGTGGATTGAGTGACCAAATTATTATTATGATTATTTTTGAAGGGATTAATATCCTGGAAAGCGATCCGCCAATCGATTTACAACCAGGTTCCTACTAACTGCTGGGTAAACGGAGGTGTGTGGAGTAAGGAAACTTGCCCAACATTTTGCCCTGCCCGGGAATTGAACCCACGTCCTCTCCCTCGCGAGGCGAGCGCTCTAACCACTGAGCTGCAGAATTCCACTCCAATGTATCAGCCAGCAGTACAGTAATCAATCTTTTTTAGATTGAAATGAGCCAAACCACAGTGTCCGCTTTAGTTCCGACTATATTTTGGATTTGAGTCACGGTTGACTTGAATATATACATATAAACACACACAGTAAGGAAATGATACGAGCCATAGAACTGCAAGATTGAGTTCAGTCGTGAGGTGGCTGCCTTTTTTAAGATTTAACAAATGGATTACAAACCCCACATCATCCACGGTTTAGTCCCGTTTATACAATTCAGGGCTGAAAGCATCAGTCCAATAATTAATTAGTGTTGTTGTGAGAAAAATGGCACAGAATGGCAGAATGGCAAAATAAGGTTCAAGGGCACATTAGGTAATTGAGCACTGCATTCAACGCATGTAACATAGATTGACTTATAATGAAAGGAAGTAAGTACCTTTCTTACCAATAATAAGAATATCTATAGTACAGACACTGCAGAATTAACGAAACATTCCTCTCCGGTCTTCAATAGATTTCCAGCGGAGAAAAATCACCTTGACCTTAACACAAATTGCTCATCTATAGATAGATGTGTCATTTTCAGTGTTATTTCTAAGTGAAATAGGTGCTCGGACATTCTAACTCTTTGTAGGAAGTTAAGCGACGTTAGGAATTTTTAGGAAAGTGATTGAACTGCTATGTTAAAAAATAATATTGACTATGTTGTGATCTGTCAATGTTTGATATTTCCAGGGACTTCTCAAGTACAGTATTGCCTGTATTTGGGTACCATAACTGTTCAGCTTTCTGTAAATCTTGTATAAACTTTAATTGACTCTACATATTCGTCTTTACTGTGGGTAACGCATTTCTAACTTGTGCAACTTTGGACTTCTGTGTTAATGTTAATGTTTTACTAGTTTTGTTTAAGCTGTTTTGTGTTGTAATACATACAGTGACAATCCATTGTTTTAGAAGCCTTGACATTTAGATATAATCAGAAACGTCTTAATCTGTTCTCTGTATATATTGAATTTGTTTTATATTGTTAAAAAAANGTCACTGAGGTTTGAAATGGGGCTGATGTCCTTTTTATCTAAAAAANCACTGTGGACACCAGAATACTTGTTGATCTAGCAGCAACAAAAATGACATTTGCACAGCGCCTTTCACGTCAGGAGGAAGTTCCAAGGCGCTGGACAATCAGGGATTTGAACCCGAGTTTGGGGTGGGATCAGGTGGGGGTAGGAGGGTGATCGAAGGGGTGGTCGAAGAGGATGGTTTTGAAACGTGCCTTGAAGGAGGCGATGAATCAGATGGGAATTGTGTTCAGCCGACGTGAGGATAATTACGGACTGAGTTGACGTCGGTGCTATTTATGTGCTGTCTGATTAGGCATTACCATCCCACGGGTTTTGTTTAGCAGCAGTTATTCATAGCTCTCAAGGTGCTACTACTAGACCTATTTTGGAATCCATATGCTCCAACCGCTCCCTGTTCAACTCAGGGTTCGGTTCATTCATTTAATGGCCTTTGCCTGTCTTGTGCAGTAACAATGTGTATTACAGTATTTTGTATATAAGTGTTGCTATCCATCTTTACACAGGGTATCTGCAGTACCTGGGTGTGTGTGATGCTCTGGGGAAAGCTCTTCATGTTTGTAACACAAAGAAACAAAGCTTTGTTTAAGTACCTCTACAAGTGGCCATATATGTTATTAGAAACAATAAAAGTATCTGGTCAGCAAAGAATCCTATGGTTATCATTGTGGGACAGTAATAAAATACAGACCATCACATTCGCTGGTGAGTGAGTGAAACCTATGTCATACGAAGCTTGGTCTATGTCACCAACCTTTAATGCAACTTTTTATCGTTGTTACATCCGTCCATTCAGCAAAGACCACAAGAGCCGGATACGATGGCTGACAAGTTTCTAAAGAACAATTAACCACAGGGGATGGTAGGATGTGGAACACATCCAAAGGGAGCAGTTGGCTGGGTACGTTACCTAGAGCGATGGGATGAGGGATAACCACCATTCGCTGGCTGGTAAGTTGATCTCTGCTGTACCATCCGAGGAAGGCAGATGGTGGAGGCCAAGATTTTTCTCCACAGAGGAGGAAAGCTGTGCAGGACATCAATTAGGAGTGAGAGCCTCAAAGCAACATGCAATCAACTTGAGTAAACCACATTAACAAGAGGCCTGCCAGCAGCCAGTCAACCTTTCATCTCAATCAGAGAATGACTTGCGGCAAGGAATGAAACTAAAGGGGCAGGGAGAGAAACAAATAATGATTGGATGATTTCGACCCTGGCACCTTGTAAAAACTAGTCCCAATTAGTTGTCCCAACCTGGTTATCATGAGGTTCGATGGGTGTTTGTTTGTAAGCAAACCGTATTTTGTGTAAATAGATTATTGCTGTAACGTAGCTGTAGAAAATGCAACACACACGAAAAATGGGTAAAGTTTCCACCCTGTTTATTCTGATTTGTAAAAGAAAAGTGTAGGAAATAACTCAAATGCTTTTCATACCTCATCCAACCAGAAAAAGCAATTAACATGCTCGGGAATAATCAGCTGGGATTACGTGATAAGACCAATTATTAAAATTGAGTGAATAAATGAGACACATTTTGTCTGGAGATCTTGGATTGTGTTATGGTCACATAATTTGGTAGGCAATCTGTGTCAAAATAACTTGGCTGATATTACAAAGCCCTATTATTGTCTGATTTGCGCCCACAAAACAAAATGAAATCACAACATTGATTACCTTTCAGGTCTATTACTCTGTTTGCATTTTGTGTGTCTGTGTTGCTGTAAGTTTCCCTTTCTGGAGTGATGTGCAGTCCTGTAGCTCAGTGGTTAGTGCACTCGCCTCGCGAGCGAGAGGACCTGGGTTTGATGCCCGGGCCGGGCCAAACATTGGGCAAGTTTCCTTACTCCACACATCTCAGTTTACCAGCAGTAAGTAGGAACCCGGTTGTTCCAGAAAGCGATTGACGGATCACTTCCTGGGGATAGCAATCCCTCCATAATAATAATAATAATAAAAAATTGGTCACTTCAATCCACGACTAGTTTGTGGGGACGCTGTTGTGTGCAATTGGCAGCTGCGTTTCGCCCACAAAATATAGTCAATTCACTCTACAGTGTACCCTGTGAAGCGCTTTGAGACTTCTCGAAGATTAATATTTTTATTATATCAAATGCAAGGATTATATATATTATTGTATTGACTCAAACTGCTGAGTGGACATCTTAAGTTCAACATCTGGACGAAGACACCGCTGGAGTATCTGATTCAGAGGCCAGATTGCTCCTAACTGAGCCAGGCCGACACCCAATAGTCATAAATACTTGCATTCAGAATAGTGTTAAATAAATAGGTAAAAAAATGCATCACAGATGTTTATGCTTAGACTGCAGCTCTATACTACAAAGAAAAATGTCTTGCTGTGTGGCCACAACTTATTATTGCACAGATTAGGTAGGAAAACTTTGGCTTTTGTTAAAGTATATTGTGTGTTCTATGTTTAGAGGCAATAAATCCTGTCTTTTTTTTAGCTTGAAAGAAACTGAGGGGCATATTCCATAGTTTGGGAAAGTTGACATTAAATAATGTCTGTTGGCATTATTAAAGAGGAAAAGCCGTGTTTTTTTAAAATAAAAATCATGGAGTGGCAGGAAATACAATGCTTCAAATCCCCAAACAATGGAAACATTTTAAGGATGTAGGAAAACAGGAACAGGAGGCCATTCAGCCCACTCAGCCTGTTCTACCAGTTTATGAAGTCCTGGCAGATCTTTCAATCTTGTCCTTTTGCCGTACACCTTGATACCTCTTAACAACAACAACACATTACATTTACACGGGGCCTTTCATGTCGGGAGGACGTTCCAAGGCGCTGGACAGTCAGGGATTTGGCCCCGAGCTGGAGGGTTGGATCAGGGAGGGTGGAGGACAGGGAGGGCAGGGGTAAGGCACAGTCAACAACAAAATAACAGGCCATCTCTCTCTTAAACTATTAATTCCTCCTCTATGTTTTCAGAGAGTTTCTCATCACCCAAAGGAGAACTCACACAATTATTGCTCTCTCCCTGTGCGATCAGTGTGTCCCACGGCCAATGACATTGAAGGGCGGAGAAATTCAGAACAAATCTGTGGAGACGCGACTTCAGTGAGCGAGCGGTAAACTTACGGAACTGACTCCCTAAGGAGACACACGGGCGAAGCAGAAAATGTTGTGTGTTTCAAGAACAAATGAGATCAATTTCTGCTAGAAAATAATATCTGGGGATAGATACAGTGGAGTCCTGTGGCTCAGTGGTTAGAGCACTCGCCTCGCAAGTGAGAGACCTGGGTTCGATTCCCGACCGAGTGAAACCTTGGGCAAGTTTCCTTACTCCACACGCCTGATAATAATCCCTCAAGAAAAAAAACAATAATAATTTGGTCACTTCAATCCATGACTGTTTGTGGGACGCTGCTGTGCGCAATTGGCTGCCGCGTTTTGCCCACAAATATATAGTCAATTCACTTTACAGTATATTCTGTGAAGCGCTTTGAGACGTCGAGAAGACGTGAAAAGCGCCATATCAAATGCAAGGATTATTATTATTATTATTATAGATACAATATTTCGGGCACGACATGTCAAGCGACTGCCAGGATGGCGGAAGGCAAACTGGATGGACCTTGGTCTTCTTTGGCCAGCAAATTCCTATGTTTTTACCTTCCAGACCTCCTAGGATTTGCAGGAAACCCTCGGGTTCTCCTCACGACTTGTGCTGATGAGTGGATCTGCTTGTGTGGGCGTCTTGATGTGCAGATGAAACAATAGGAATCTCAGTCTCTCCCCTCTGCCAAGGAGGCTTGGCAAGCACACAAAGCTTTGGCCGCGGAGCTTAAATACAGCCCTTATTGTCCCATCGATTGTCTCCAAACAGCAGGGAAGGCCACACAGAGAGATCCTATCAAGTTTGTATTCTTAGTCGTCTATAATTACACAGCTTTGTGTTTGTTCCTCTTTCCCCCCCCCCCCCCTCACCCCCCACACACACACAAACACCACCCCCTCCCCTCTCCACAGGTGCCCCCAGTGAAGTTCTGTAGCTCAGTGGGTAGAGCACTCGCCTCGCAAGTGAGAGGACCTGGGTTTGATTCCTGGCAAAGTGTTGAGCAAGTTTCCTCACCAGCAGTAAGTAGGAACCCAGTTGTTAGTGGATTGGTGGATCAAAAAAAAATTTGGTCACTCAATCCACGGCTGTTTGTGGGGACGCTGCTGTACGCAATTGGCTGCTACGTTTCGCCCACGAAATATACAGTCAATTCACTTTACGGTGTATCCTGTGAAGCGCTTTGAGACGTCTCGAAGACGTGATCAGGCGCTGCATCAAATGCAAGGATTATTATTATTATTAGCCGCGTGAATTTTTTTTTTGGGGGGGGGGTTTATATCAATGTAAATTGTCGTTTAGAATATTGATCTAAGAATTTGGGAAAAAGGTAGGACGGATAGATTTATACCTTTAAATTTATAACTTTTTTCGCCACGACCTTTAGCGCAGCCGAAACCCGGCTATAATTTCCCTTTTCGTTCTCCACGCAGGCGATCTGGAAAACAAAGTGCTGTAAATGTCCGAAATGAATGCGACAGCTTTGGGACACGTCCGATCCTTGCGTTATTTGTAGTTGTTTCGGCACTCCTACTTTCTCACCTGCCTGCCATTGCTTCAGCGAACTATTACCTTGCAATTCGGTCCCAACGACACCTGAAAGTCTACAATCAAAAGAATCACTGGGAAAAAACATATGAAGCAGCAGGTACAGGTGCAATTGCAAGCACTTCCTCCAAGAAACTGCCCTCATCCCACTTGTTCGCACACTGCAAAGCCACTAGAGGGTACTCTGCACATACTGTTGTGGAGTCCTGTCGCTCACCGGTCAGAGGACCTGGGTTCGATTCCCGGGCAAAACATTAACAATAATATTAATTAGAGGAAAAAAAACCCGAAGGCAGAATCTGAACGTAATAAACAGACTATAAACCGTGGCGTTGATACCTCTGTGGTTAGGGTGCGTGATTCACATTTTGCATTTTTTTTTATTTATTAAACTTTTGGTACAATACAAAGGAAAAACACGACTAGCAATTAATGACATAATTAATGCGACAACGGACGAAACGAAATACCTCTGGAGAGGTTGCGTTGCAAAGTTTCTTCGGGATTGTAAAGATGAACCCTTCTGTATCGAAGTCAGGAAACCCAGGAATTTTGGGAATAACGGGGAATAGTGATAGGAAGGGATTAATGAGAGCAAAGAAGCTGCTGTGAATCTGCCTCGACTCCCCCCCGGGTTGCGTTCAAGGAATGCTGGTATCTGTACAGGAAGCGCATGCGGGGAGCTCTGCTATCGAGCACCAAATGCCAACCACTTCCCCAACATTAAACCAGTTGCTCAGGAACTTTTCAAATTAAATTCTTTTCAAGCTTAAAGTTGGCTTGGAATCAATCGGCTGCTGTAAATCCAGACTTAGACGGCAGGATACTGTGTTCAGGGTCAGTTTGCTATATATAATGATAATAATTTGGTCATTCAATCCACGACTGTTTGTGGGACGCCGCTGTGCGCAATTGGCTGCCGCGTATCGACCACAAAACAGACAGTCAATTCACTTTACAGTGTATCCCGTGAAGCGCTTTGAGACGTTTAGAAGACATGATAAGGCGCTGTATCAAATGCAAGGGTTATTATTGTTATTAATGACTCAAACATAAAGAGCTTCTAAACCGGATTGGTTTGATGACACTTGCAGGGTTGGATATGGACATGGAGACTGCATCAAAATCACTGTTAAAATGTAGCATAACAGGGTGTTAGTCACCAATACCACACTGTAGCATTATCCCACTTGCTGATTTCAGCTTGGAGTTCACAAAGCCTGGAAATCAAGCCCAAAAACTGCGCAATTCTCTTCTCCACATTTACAGCCACACCTACTGGGTGCTGACCATCACCTGGTTCGGTGTGTCTTCACCTCACTATCCTCCTTGTGGGGGGGAGTGGGGGGGGGACGAGGAGGAGGAAGGTAAGTGAGGTCTCCTTGGGAGCTGAACTGGCTCCGAAGAGACGTGCTTGGCAAGGGAGTGTCGGAATCGAGCCAGCCCTCTGTGGCGGTCTCGGTAGTTTCTTGATCCGGGCAGGTCCGCAGTATTGCAGGGCACTCAAGCAAGTCAGCCCGGCTCATCAGCAGGACTTCGAGGGCAGCCACTACAACAAGAACCAACTGACTGATGCAGGGGCTGAGGGACTGAGCAGTGGGAGAGTATTCCTGGAATGTGAAGAAACTTGAGGGCAAGTGAGGGCACGTGGAATAACGTTTCACCCCCAAAATATACAGTCAATTCACTTTACAGTATAATCTGTGAAGCACTTTGAGACGTCTCAAAGACGTGTTAAGGCGCTGTATCAAATGCAAGGATTATTATATCATATAACAAGTCCATCTTACACACTGTACCGCAAAAATCGTGTTGTTGGGTCAAATTCAGCGTGAAATGTTCAACAGTTAAACTTGACTGAACAACTCAACCTTTGAAAAGACCAGAGCAGCAGCTGAATTAATCAGAGCAGAGCTGGAAATGCTATTTATTGTAAGAAACCTGACCTCACTAATTCTCCCTTATTTCTGTTCCCGGCATAAAACCAGAATGTTTTCTGCTGTTAACTGTTCGCAGGTTAAGTATAATGTATTTACAATTGTTGCAAAGGAACATATGTTGAAACAAGGGCAATGTGGGTCAGTGGTGAGTGGGGAGGTGGGGGTGGTGGGGTGCGAGATGTGGAGCAAGAGAGGGGGGAAGAGACACAAATTGGACTGATTGGGAAGCTCTTCCAAAGAGCCAGCACAGGCACAGTGGGCCGAGCGGTCTCCTTCTGTGCTGTAATATTCCATGATTCTACTGCTCCGAACCAAAAATGTGTCATTTTTGGACCCACGAAATAAGAGGCGTCTTGTCACCAGGCTTTCCACACTACTCTGCAGTCTGCTTTCTTATGGAATCACCCTATGGTGGGAGTGTGCGTCTCTCTTACTCAAGGATGACCGTACCAACAACCCAGGGAGCATGAGTGCGTGGCAATTGGATGCGTTGATGACAAGGCAGGCCAATACTTGACAGACATCGCCTCCCGCAAACTGCACATAACCACAAGTCATAGGCTAACACTTTGCAAACAGGGATTTCTACACCTGCAACCCACAGATGTCTTGGTTGTGGATTGCAAATTTTAACGCTTCAATATTTTTTCTTTTAAAAAAAAGGCCAATATCCCCTCTCGCTTTGAATGATTTAAGACAAGACAGCATTTACTCGCTAAATGTTAAACGTTTGTAGAATAAGAATAACAATCCTGACATTTGGGGTAGATTTTTTAAAAAAAAAAAAACTTTTTAAGCGTACAGAATGTTCAGTGGTGAGATAAAAGAGCCTCCGAGACCTTCAGTGGTATCACAGTGATGGCCCATGATGTTAGTAGGTGAGTTCCTGCTGATTAAAGCGCTCCGAGACGCCGTACAGCATGAAGGGCGCTATATAAATGCAATTTTATTGTTGTTGTTGTTGTTGTAGTTGTTGTTGTTGTTGATTACTGGGGCAGCAGAAGCTTTCATTTTATATGGAAAAAGGTGCAACAAGTACTTCATAACTTTCTACACCTGCCGCTGGGAATAGAGGAATTGCTCTCAGTCCAAACACTCCGCAGCTCCTGCTTGTATCAGTCCCATCTCTGTCTCACTCGGCGAGACGTTTCTAGCTGCTGGCTTTCTTTTCCCATTCCTGCCGGCGGAGAAAGGAAAACACAACAACGGGTGTAAGCGGCTGGAGAGACGCCGAATCCGATTGAACCAAATAAAGGCGGCAGACTCCCGATAACTCGGCGCTCCGAGGGAAAAGGGGGCTCAGTGACAAGCGATCCAGAGAGCGAGTGGAGTCTGGCAGCTCAGTGGTTAGAGCACTCGCCTCGGAAGCGAGCGAGAGGACCTGGGTTTGATTTCCGGGGCAGGGCAAAACTTTGGGGCAAGTTTCCTTACTCCACACGCCTCTGTTTACCAGCAGTCAGTAGGATTCTGGTTGTTAATCGATGGGTGGATCGCTTTTCTGGGGTTAATAATCCCTTCAAAAAAATAAATAATAAATTGCAACTGGGGAAGGGGGAGAGGGAATTAAATAATAAATCGGCCGCTCAATCCCCGACCGTTTGTGGGACACTGCTGTGCGCATTTGGGGGAAGGGGAGAGGGAAGGAGAGGGGGAGAGGGAGGGTGATGGGGAGAGGGAGAGGGAGGGAGAGGGGGAGGGGTAGGGGGAAGGGGATGGTAGTCAATTATTTCAAACTGGACCTAACTTCGCGTTCCGGCCATGTGAATTATCAAGTCACACTTCGCAATGTTCACTCGTGGGGTGTTACCTTTGCCTTCTGTAGGACAGTCCCTTTTGTGGATTGCACGATAGATACTGGCCTATTCTTTAAGGCAGCTGCACAGTTCACGGCTGAGTTGTCTTGGCTGTTGTTGGGGTTGGGGACCTTAACCTGGAGAAAGTAACAAAACCTTCTCTGGTTAGAACACGCTCAATGATCAGTGTCTTTTACTAAACTTCCCCCACTGCAAAACTGAGCCCCTGATGTGTCCCAAAAGGTTCAAACGTCTCGCAAGCGAGAGGACCCGGGTTCGATTCCCGGGCAGGGTGAAACGTTGGGCAAGTTTCCTCGCTCCACACGTCCCGGTTTACCTCGCAGTAATTAGGAACCCGGTTATTAGTTGATTGGCAGATCGCTTTTCCAGAGGTAATAATCTCTTCAAAAAAAAAGAAATTAAAAAAGAATAATAATTTGGTCACTCAATCCACGACTGTGTGTGGGACGCTGATGTGCGCAATTGGCTGCCGCATTTCGCCCACAAAATATACAGACAGTTCACTGTACAGTATATCCTGTGAAGCGCTTTGAGACGTCTCAACGAAGTGATAAGGCACTGTATCAAATGCGAGGATTATTATTATAATTATTATTGTTGAATCAGTATTAAACCTTGCAACGTACATTATCAAATTGGCTGGCATCCACCATCATTCCCAAAGGGACCGGTCCCAGTTCTGCCTTCCTCAGGTTCTCCCTCACAGATACCAACTTAAGTTCCAGGTCCACCCTATTGTTCTCCTTTGATTTGCAGTCTTCTTCAATCTGCCGTAGTCTGTCCTCTTGAGTGCTCAGTATATGTTTGTCTGCCGCCAAAAAAAAAAAACAGTGATAAGACGTGATACGGCTCTATAGCAAATGCAAGGATTATTATTATCATGACTCATATTACTGAAGAGTGTGCAATGTATTAAAAGCAATTAACACCCACTGTGGTGCTGTTTCCTGCCTTCTCTCACCCCCACTGCAATCAGTTTACCTCTCCAAATATTGATGAAATCAGAAAATAGCAGTGCATGATTTGCGGGCCTTCGCTGGTTCAATTTGCAAACATTCATTTTAAACAAGCCAGATCCCACAAATTGAAGGAAGCGCAAACACAAGCCAAACCTGCAGAATGAAAGCAAACAGGCAGAGCTTGCTGCTAATCGCAGTTCATGTCTCCAGATCAGCGTCAAATCACTGGCGCAACTCGGGAGCGCCGAGAAATGTCTACCCTTCATTTCCTCATGGTTCTACTTGGATTTGTTGGCGTGCGCAATACAGCGGCCCGACACACAGCACAGACGCAAGTGGTCAATTGTTTCCGTGGAAATCTCGGTTTCTGTGGCTTGTTTAAGAGGGAGTTCGGGGGGTGGAGGGGGTGGGGAGGGAACGCCAAGGCTCAGTTCCCACTTGAGTACGTCTGCAAAGTAGCCAATACTATATTTTCTGTGGATCTCACTTCAGTGAACAATCAGACGTCATTGAGACATCTCAAAGCGCTTTATAGAATATATTCTAAAGTGAATTGACTTTGTATTTTGTGGGCGCAGCGTAGCAACCAATTGTGCACAGCAGTGCCCCATGAACAGTCATAGATGGAGTGAAAACATTAGTTTTTTTGCGGGGGGGGGGGGCGGATTATTACACCCGGAAAAACAATCCGCCAATCGACAAACTGAGTTCCTGCTCACTGCTGGTAAACAGAGGCGTGTGGAGTAAGGAAACGTGCCCAACGCTTTGCCCTGCCCGGGAATCGAACCCGGGTCTTCTCGCTTGCAAGGAGAGTGCTCTAACCACTGAGAGCTACAGGACTCTACAGATGGCCCTTTCCCATTGCTTGGGGACCCACCAGCAGGATCTGCTCACACATTCCCCAGCAGATAGCACAGGGAGGCGAGGTCACAGCCTGCAATGAGGTCACCATCACCGCTGTGTGACCCTCAGAAGTCCAGGGAGAGGCAGAAAACTAGGAGGGAGTTTTACTCATGAATTCTAACTAAAACAGTCTTAGTTTACTGCTTTGAAAGCTTGACAGTTTATGGCCCGCTCAGCAGAATTTGAGACATCCAATTCACTGACAAGGCCAAACACCCAATGACACCGGCCAAGAGGCTCTTCATGACGCACATCTGCTACTGATCATTGAGTTTTGAGCATTGTTGGTCAGTTTCCATGGTAACGGCTCAGGAGCCAAACTGCTGAAATTGTTGCGTTTACAGTCCAACATATCCAGGGCCGGCAGAGCAGCCGACACTGCGCTGGTTTACTCTGAGCCTTGACTTGACAATGACACCTCATTTGACGCTCTGTCTTAAGAACATGAGAGCTCGCTGGCGAAAGAAGGCCGAGGTCCATCCAGTTCACCCTCCACCATCCTGGCCGGCGCTTGACGTGTCGCGTCCCCAAACTATATACCGTATCTATCCCCAGATATTATTTTCCAGCAGAAACCGATCTCATTTGTTCTTGAAGCAAACAACGCTCTCTGCTTCCACCGTCTGTCTGTGTGTCTGTCTGTCTGTCTCCCCGGGGAGCCCGTTCTGTAAGTTTACTGCTCGGGCACTGGAGTAGTGTTTCCACAGATTTGTTCTGAATTTATTCCCCTTCAATGGCAGGCCATGGACTCCGGTTCTTCAGTACAAAATAAAACAGCCTATATCTATTCCCTTCAGAATTTTAACATCTTTCACCCACAAAATATAGTCAATTCACTTTACAGTGTATCTTAAGAACATAAGAACTTGCTGGCGAAAGAAGACCGAGGTCCTGAAGACGTCCTGAAGATGTGATAAGGCGCTGTATCAAATGTGAGGATTATTATTATTATTAAAGACAGTAATCATATCACCCCTCAACCTTTTCTTCTCCAGTTTAGTTTTGGATCACTGGCACAACTGGAACTCTATAAGTGTCATCCCTTCATTTTCCCTGGGTTCTCTCTGCATTTGTTGGTGTGCGAGGTGAAACAGCTCGAAGCTCAACACCGAATGCAAGTGATCATTTGTTTCCATGAAAATGTTTGGACGTCGTGGCTTGTTTAAAAGGGAGTTGGATGTTTGAGGGGTGGGAGGGCGGAGGATGGAAGTCAAACCTCAGTTCCTGAAGCAGCCTGTTCTGAGACTCACTCCATGGCTCTTCCCCGGCTCCCACCCCGAGCACTACGTTAACTATGCTGGAGTTAAGCGACAAAGACCGTTTAGTCTTTGGTCCTCAGAGCTTTTGTACTGCATCCATTGCTCCACATCCCTCTGCATCAGTGTCAAACTACACCACGGTTACGCACTCCGAAATGCCAAGCCACACTCATGAAGGGCGTTATGTGAACAACAACAACAGCTTGCATTTATACAGCACTTCTCACACAGGGTAGCGTCTCAGAACGCTTGTCGTTGTATCTGAAGACACACTTACCTTTGCAAACTGCTATTGCCTCCTTGATCTCCCTCTTTTGTTTTCTTAAGAGCAACAGTTCATTTCGAAGTTGTTCTTTTTCCTTCTCAAGCCTCTCCCTCTCTTCCATGATTTTCTTCAGATCTGCCTCGGAGCGATTCTTTCCAAACTTGGTTTCGATGGACACTGGGGAAGAATTGTCAAGGGGGCAAACAATTATTGCAAAGCTTGGTGTGAAAGGAAACGAGGAGTGAGAGGAGGAGTGAAACAAGGAGCCCACCTGTTGCAGCCAACTTCTGCTTTTCTACACAGTCTGTGGAGGGCTTTGCTTGCTGTTGAGGCACCGAGTTCACGGCGGTCTTACTTTGCTCGGCCCAGAGAGGTGTCGTCTTCTGATTGTTTGACGGTTTACTGACGGACTTCTCTTCGATCTCGGTCTTCACTTGAGATATCTGAGGCTTGGAACAACGTAAGAGTGATTGATTTCAATGAAAGGGTTATCAAAGGTAAAATATATGGTGGTAAAAATCCTTTAAGAAGCTTGTACCTTAACCGCAGCAGGCTCCACAGGTTTTGCAGCGACCACACTCTCGCATTCACCAGCCGAGTCCCTATCGCTGCCCTGTGCGGGAGTTACAGCTCCTTTTCCGCTGTCAGAACAGAGAGTGTTTGTCTGTACATTAGAAGCTGCTTTGTTATTATTGGAATGAAGGAACGATTTCACTGGATTGAGGTCCAGGTAAACTCTGGCTTGGTCATCTTTAGGAATTTGTTCCTCGTTTGCTTTCTCTTCCTGCATTGAAGTAGAAAAGACGTCGACACGTTTATCACGGAAGAAATTATTAACCGGAATTTGTTCGTTTAGAAACGTTTTTAAAATGTCTTTTGAAATACCTGCCCTGACTTCTACATAACAATAGCGGCCGAAAATGCTCAGAGTGCCTTAGATTCCCATTTAACAACAACAACGACAGCAAATGACATTTACACAGCGTCTCTCATGTTGGGAGGATGTCCCAAGGCGCTGGACAGTCAGGGATTTGGACCCGAGCTGGGGGTTGGCATCAGGGAGGGTGGAGGGCAGGAGGGTGGAGTAGGAGGGGTGACTGAAGGCGCGGTCGAAGAGGAGGGTCTTGAGACGTGCTTTGAAGGAGGCGAGGGAGGGAGTGAGGCGGATGGTCTGTGGGATGGAGTTCCAAAGGGTGGGGCAGAGGCTGAAGGTCCGACCCCCGATGATGGGATGTACCTTCCCCCCCTCGCCTCCAACGGCTTCAGTTATAGATTGGCCTCGCTGATCGTGATATGAAAATGATTACCAGTGATAATTAACACATCAAAGGTCACAACTTTCTGTCCTGTGAGAACCTTTGCACAAAGACCACAACGCGCAGGTTATAAAACGAGATCTTGGTAAGCTCTCACCACGGATTCAGGTACATCCACGTCATCGTATAAGTCATCCGACTGGTTCTGTACGGCTGGTAAGTCATCTATGTACGTATTGGGCTCTGAGTATCTCCGCTGCATTAAGCTTGTGGGTGAAACAAAACTTAGCATGTTCTTTATAAATAAAGAAGAAAAACAAAGCGCTTCACAATACACTGTAAAGTGTAGTGATTGTATATTTTGTGGGCGAAGCGAGAGGGAGGACACAGACAGGATTTTATGTTTTGTGATAATTCCAGATGTGGCTGAGTAACTGGGAGGGGAGTGGGGGGGTGCGGGGGTGGGGGGGGGGGGGCGAGGGAGGAACTCCTATTTGCAAGAGAATAGCTAAACCGAAACAAGCAATTTTAACATTTGTTTTGGCCGCCGTAGAGAATATTTAACCGTAATTTCATGGAAAAAATACTTTACATTTGCAAAAGCTTGAGATGGGGGTAATTCTAGGTTCTGGAAATTGAGGGACGCAAATACTGGGAAGTGGATTTTTTTCCCCATTTTTAAAATCAAATGTCAGCGAAAATAAACACTCCGAGGTCAATTATACTGTGGCCAAAGGGGAGGAACTGTAAAATTCCACATAACCTGCCATAACAACGTGCTACAGCCTTAAGTTCAGAAGAGCAGTCTAGCCATGTGATTCTTCCATTTCCCCCAATGACACTTGTCGTCACAGGACGTTTGTCTAGAGAGGAGTTCCTGCAGCGTTGAAGGGAATTGAACTCCTCGAGGAAATGCCACCTGTTAGCGCCTCAGGTGTAATTAAAATAATAAAATAATAACGGCAATTCGGTCACTTCAATCCACGACTGTCTGTGGGGACGCTGCTGTGCGCAATTGGCATTTCGCCCACAAAATATGCAGTCAATTCGCTTCACGGTATATTCTGTGAAGCGCTTTCAAACGTCTTGAAAACGTGATAAGGCGCTATATCAAATGCAAGGATTATTATTATTATTATTATTATTATTACGGCACCAGATAGCCATGGCCTCTGTGCATTAAATTGTCAACCTAGTGATATCACTCTTAAAGACAACTTGAACCATTTAAAGGTCTCTCTGCTGATCACCAGGCAGTGATCCCAGTGACAGACCCAACACTTGAAGCGCAGTAAACCCTCTGATACATTGTCCTGCACAAGAGTTTGTTGAACACGTGATCCGTTTGTCACAAATCTATTCTGAGAAGATAAGCTGTGACTTACTATAAGGAATGTTTGGCTGCGTGCACTATACAGGACACTCGATCAGCATCCACATAGTCATAAGCCAGGTCTTCGGGGTCTGTCTTGGATCCCGATTCTGCCAGCAGCAGACCCAGCCAGTACCCCATCTCCTCGGAAGACTTAGCCTGAAAAAAAAGGGAGTCGTGTGATTAGGTTCAAGTGTCTTGTTTGTCTCCCTCTCTGTTTGTTCCTCCTCTTTCCTTCAATGTCTTCCCGTCCTGACCGCTCAAGTCTTGGATCCTATAACAGTGGGGAAGTGGGCAGTGCAAGTCAATATCATCATCACCCCTCGCCCCCTGGCTTGGCATCAGATGCCTCTGGGACGCTACCCCACATGAAGGATGCTATATAAATGCAAGTTGTTGTTGTTGTTATCCCCTCTTCTTGGATGGACAACCCGAAACACAGCGTCACATCAGGCAAATGCAAGAAATCCTCTTAAAACAGATTCATTTCCATTTTGTAACACAAACGTTAATTGACACGGACCCAAATGGTTTGAAAGCTCGTTCGGTCAGTCAGTCAGGCAGTGATGGCATGTTCTGAAGCATCGAACATTCATTCTGCAATCCAAACCCACAGGAGCTTTCTGACAGTGCTTATTTTAGACAAAAGACCTCATTTGAGACTTTCATGCCCAAGTACTTGTAAGCGCATCAGACAATATGTGACAGGGTGTGATGTAGCTCATATAATCATAGAATATTACAGCACTGAAGGAGGCCATTCGGCCCATCATGTATGTGCCGGCTTTTTGAAAGAGCTGCCCAATCAGTCCCACTCCCCCGCTCTTTCCCCATAACCTTGAAATTTTTCCTTCTTTGTACCTATCCAATTCCCTTTTGAAAGTTGTTATTGAATCTGTTTCCGCCAGCCTTTCAGGCAGTTCCAGACCGTAACAACTTTAGTTAAATGCTGATTATAGTATTTAGGACTGTAGAGCAAATTTTCTGCAACATGTGGGGCACGACCTCAATGTATGAGCTGACAAAGAATTGTGACACAGTAAATGCTATCGTTTGGGGGGGATTGGAACACTGCTCCTTCTCTCCTTTTGGCAGCACAGATGTGAACACAAGCCCAGTGCACAGAAGTGCTCGTAAAGTTCAGCTGCTTATAAACTACAGTCCCAGAGCTCACGTTCAGACCTGTTCAGGGACTGATCCAATTCTAGTTGTATACATTCACTGGCTGTTTCTCAGCTACAGAGCTGTAGCAAAAGGAATGGATCCTTGGGAAGGAAGTGTTTCCAGAAATAAGGTGACTTCTGAAATGAACATCAAACCATCCAGACCCAAATCCGTTCTAAAATTCAGGGTTTTCCTCACTTAAGGGGATGCTTCAAAAGAGGTACCCAAGGTCATAAAGTCTGAATGAACTAAATCGACTTATTCGTGCAGCGTCTGCTATGAATTGGATTGAGACGTTGACTTTTAATAACATTTTCACTTGTGGTAAAGCTTAATCTAACTTTTACATCACTGTAGGGCGACCAAAAATTCTTGATATCTAACCTATTGTCTGAAACAAAGCAAAAATAACATCATTTCTTTAAGACTTATTAGACATTGTAATGGTATGGTGATTTTTTGATCACCCTGTATAAGGTGGAGTTAAAGTTACCTCCAAGGATGCTATTTCCTCACCATCCTGGAGAATGCGGAAGGAATACAAGTGTTCTGGAGTGGGATCAGGGATGACCTCACACCCCTCCAGGCTTAGAGGCTGCTGAATGGCTTTAGTTTTGGTCTTGTCCTGATAGAAGTGAATCAGTCCATTCTTCACCTGGCACCAACGCATGCGCCAATGGCTATTTACAAAGACATTCAAATAACCTGTAACGAGAAGAGTAGAGGGTTGCACACAGCTTACACTTAGAAATGGAACCGTGTAATAATAATAATAATAATCACATCAAAACACAACACAAAATAGTTATTGCAGTTTACGATACACCCGTAGGAATTGTGCATTTAAACCACATGGAAAAGCCAGTTAAACGCTGCAATTACCATTCAATCCGTCACAACGTTGACTTCGTTTGCTGACGGTGTTAACGGCGCCAGCCAGATAACAGCTGGCGTCTGGTACAAATAATATCATGAGGTGCCACAGGGTGGCAGTGCCTGTACACACAGTTAAACCCCCACCCACCGCCCCCCCACCCCCGTTCCCCTGTTGCTGACACAAGGAAGATCAGAGTCAGGTCGGCTTCAACCAAAAGAATTCTTACCAGACGCCTCGACGTTCTTCTCGTTGTTAATAGGAATCTCCACAGATATAGGCTTCTTCTTCCCAAGATTCATGAAGCTGCTGAGCTTCAAGCCTGCGGTTTTAAGGTCCCCGATGCTGGATTTCTTTTTCACTAAACGGGAGAGAGAGAGAGAGAGAGAGAAAACGTCAGGGCTGTTTTGACTTTAATGACATTTTGCAACCCGCTTGACACGTTTGCCAACTGCATTCTCCACGACTGTTTGTGGGACGCTGCTGTGCGCAGTTGGCTGCCACGTTTCGCCCACACAATATACACTCACTGCACTTTACAGTAGATTCTGTGAAGCGCTTTGAGGCGACTCAAAAGGCGTGATAAGGCGCTGCATCACATGCAAAGATTATTATTATTCTGCCAAATGCTCACTCGCACGTGGTATGAAGGGGGTGAATGGGTGGAGTGTCCATCCACCTTAAAGACCTTAAATTCAAAGTTCCTGAGAGCCACAAATCCCACTGCTGTTTGTGCAGCGATGGCTTGGAATCTGCGCTACTGTTGTGAGCAATGTTAGAACATGTAAACAAAAGACATGACTACATCAGGTCATGGGAGAAGCTCTTTAGATTTTCCCCCATTCCCATATTATCCTGTGATGCATGTGATGCATGTCATAACAGTAGCTCTGTTATCACACAGGAAGATAACAGAGAGACTTGAAGCATTTACACTGGAAACTCCTTTCTTATCACGTCAAGCGACGAGCAGAGATTGCCACACGGCAGTTGAAACAAACAGCTTCCGAAATAATAATAATAATCCTTGCATTTGCTCTCGTGCCTTATCACGTCTTCGAGACGTCTCAAAGGATACACCGTGAAGAGGTTTGACTGCATGCTTTGTGGGCAAAACGGAGTAGCAAACTGCTCCCAGCAGCGTCCCACAAACAGTCGCGGATCGAGGTTATGTTTTGCTTTGTCACTTTCACGTGAGCTCAGATAAGGAATGCCAGAGGCTATTTTGGGCACTCAGTGAGCCAAGCCGCTCACAGCAGGTACAAGCACCATGGTCGGCTGCAGAGCAAAACTCCTTTTATTCTGTCCCAACAATGTGCCTCAGTCCCAATGTCAGAAGAGAACCCCGACTGCACCAGAATTACATTTTTCCACTTCCCACATCCTGTGGCCTCTCTGACTGAGATTGCCAATTTTAGGGCAGTTCTGCACTGTGATCCAAACGCCCACTGACTCCCCAAACCTACATCACAGAGGATCCTCACAGCCTGAAGCACAGAGGAGACTTTCAGCCTATCAGACTGGACAGGACTCCAACTCAGGTCCCAGTGCTCAGACCCCAATGTGCTAACCCACTGCTCTCCTCAATTCCCTGTAATTACAGCTCTCACCCAAAGGGATGTGCATACAGACAGTTTTTCTTATGTGGCTCTGTGCACAATGATGAAGCTATAAGAATAATCCTTGCATTTGATATAGAGCTTTATCACGTCGTTGAGATGTCTCAAAGCGCTTCGCAGGATATTTTGTAAAGTGGACTGACTGCATTTTCTAGAGCGAGAAAAGTCAGAAACGGCTACAGATGTGAACATTAGCCATGGATTGGAACTATCAAGTCAATGCAGAATCGCTATTGTGACGAGGCTAATTCAATATTGGACGCATCTCAAAGCAACTGATACGGAGTTAACACAGAATGTATAACCTTTCACAAATCAGCAGTGAGTGAGGCTAAATGTAGAGATTAGAGTAATTCTTCTCTCCCCGATTGGAGGGTATTGAAACAGACTCCTAGCAGAAGCAGTTAAGTTATGCTGATTAACTCCTTTAATAGCGAGCTGGATAGACACTCGGCTAATGATAAATTTATAGACGGCAATGATGAAATACCAAGTACAACAGAATGATGGATGGTGAAAGCACTATCTGTGTCCAGGTTTGAGTAATGAATGCTTGGTTTGCGTTTGGATCAGGAAGAAATGTTGGCACAATTTTCCCTCAGCCACTGAAATATGTGGGATTTGGGTGAGCAGAAGGAACAGGATACTTATTTGATTGTTTAATGCTTTCTTATGGATGGATAGCGATAACGTCATTAAATGAAATTCAATGGTTGCTTCGAGGCAAAACAATCTAATTTCTTCTTCCTGTTTATAATAATCCTTGCATTTGATACAGCTCCTTATCACGCCTTCGAGATGTCTCAAAGCGCTTCACAGGATACACTATAAAATAATTGACTGTATATTTTATTATGGTTGAAACGCAGCAGCCAATTGCGCACACTAGTGTCCCACAAACAGTCGTGGATTGAGTGACCAATTTTTTTTTGTTGAAGGGATTATTACTCCCAGAAAAACAATTCGCCAATCAGATAACAACCGGGTTCCTACTTACTGCTGGTAAACAGGCGTGTGGAGTAAGGAAACTTGCCCAACATTTCGCCCTGCCCGGGAATCGAACCCAGGTTCTCTCGCTTGCGAGACGAGTGTCTAACCACTGAGCTACAGGAGTCCACCAAAGTCCGTGGTAATTTGTCAATTCAGGAAGCATCGGAATTGGCTGCCACGGAATTGGCAGGTAAATGACAATCCATCACACCTTTACTTATCGTACCATCTTTGGTCTCCATGATGTCAGTTACAGACCCACCATCAGTACTGCTCCCATTATCTGACGCCACGGAGTGTCTCTCTGATGAATCCAACTACAACACAACACAAGACCAATGTTATCTCTCAACATACCTCTATTCCTTTAAAACCGTGTGTTACAGACTGTAGGCTATTGCTACCATTTTTGTCTTTTTTTACAATGTTCCACAATTCGATAGAATGATGTTTTCAGCGCTAAAGATACATTTTTATCAATATTGATTATTTTTTAAGACAACAAAAATGGACCTTAAACCACCCAAATCTTAAGACGTGGAATGCCTTATCAAAAGCACAGGTTGAAGCAGAATTTGTGATAAGTTTTTATAATAATAATCTTTGCATTTGATATAATGCCTTATCACGTCACCGAGACATCTTTAAGTGCTTCAGAGGAAAGACTGTAAAATAGTTTGGCTGTGTATTTTGTGGATGAAACTCATTCCTTTTTTAAAAGGAAATGAAACAAATATTTGATAAAGATAAATATATAAGGGTATGGAGAAAGAGCACGGAACTAAATGGAACTAAATGGACTGATTGAAAGGCGCTTTACAAATGTAATTTTGTGGTTGTTGCTGAATGGACTAAATAGGGAGTACTTTCAGAGAATAATGGGCTAAATAGCCTTCTAGTTTGTGACAGTGTCAAGCTCTTTGAGACATCCTCCCAATTGTATTTACTCAAAGATCTATCAACCAGAGACAAAGTGCATTGAAATATCTTAAAATGCTTCACACGATCAGATTTGTTTGAAGTGGAGCAACTGTTGGCAATAGGAAAGCCGTAAAGACAAATTGGATGAAGCTTTGCTCACGCATGTTGTCTTATAAGTATCTGTGTGTGTGCGTGTATCCGTGTGTGAGTGTATGTGTATATGTGTTTGTGAATCTGTGTGTATGCATGTGTGTGATTATGTGTGTGTGTATCTGTGTGTGTATGTGAGTGTGTGTGTATGTGTGTGTATGTGAGTGTGTGTGAGATCTGTGTGTGTGTGTGTGTGTGTGAGAGAGTACGTATCTGTGTGTGAGTGTGTGTGGATATGTGTGTGAGTGTGTGTGTGTGTATGTGAGTGTGTGTGTGTGCGTGTGTGTGAGTGTGTGTGTGTATTTTCCCATCATTTTCAGTGGAAAAGTGGCCATTGCAAATGTGTTGGGTAAGTCAGAGAAGTAATAAATACATGATATATTCCTCTAAAAAATGAACCACATTGGAATATGAAAGACAGAAGGCCTTACTTTTTGAGCGTGGCTGCGGGAATGGTCTGTAGGTACTACACTTCCATCAGCACAGCTTTCACTTTGGAGATGGCTGATCTCCTGGATCACCTGTATGACATTGAGGAACTGTAATCATTCTGCTGAAAAATCCAGTCCTATCACCAGGTCAGACAGAGGATACACTGGAGTTGGACAATGCTCTTGTGGACCAAATGCTGAGAATTGTCACCTACAAAAAGGAACTTATTCGAGCCTGATCTCAGCAGCCACCCAACTCACACTAAAATAACAGGCCACCCAACAACTGGGAACTTACTGTGCTTCTCCCAATGGCGGAAGGAAGGAAGGAAGGAAGGAAGGAAGGAAGGAAGGAAGGAAGGAAGGAAGGAAGGAAGGAAGGAAGGAAGGAAGGGAATTGCACACGTGTCAAGCATTGTGGTTGCAAAGGTTGTTTTGTAGCAGCCAGCAGTCAATTGTTGGGATAACAGAACTAACTAGCGAGTGACTTGAAAAACGCTTGCTCGCACGATGACTTCCAGCTAATGTTATTATCCCTCCTGTTATTGCACTTTATCGGTGCACGTGCAGGACAACTGAAAGGCTCGAATGCTCCTAAAAACGCTACAAATTCAAGAACCTTCGTGATGACGTGAAACCCTAGCCTCTGATCTCTCCTTCTCTCTCTTTTACTGCGTCCGAAGTGGTTAAATTCATGAATCATGTTCATCTGTATAAACAAATAATACAGCTGATGAAAATGACCACATTATATCCAGCCTGAGGAGACAAAAAAAAAAAGCTTTTCTGGGTTTACTTGTGTGCTGACTAAAGGACAAGGAAGTGGATCATTTTCATTTTGGGCAAGCTCGCGTGAACATGAAGGATTCCCAGGTCAAGCCCTCTGTAGTAAACTGCAGAGCAATCCAATAAAATACCTTGAGATTAACCTCATACTACACTGCTGCCTAACATGCCTCACATCTGCCTGATGTTCCCTTTAATGTGGAATTAGGTTTAGATATCATTCCTCCAAATGTGCTAGGTTTCTAGCAGCATTAATTTTGGCATTCAATTTCAGTAACATCTCTTCTTCCAAATCTATATTAAGACCACACTTTCAGTCACCTTTTCCTGGGATGCCCCCACTGATGCTAACAGTCTCAAGACCCTCCTCTTCGACCATGCCTTTGGTCACCCTCCTACCCCACAACCTCCCTGCCCTCCCACCCCCTCCTGATCCCAACCCCCTGCTCGGGTGCAAATCCTTGACTGTCCAGCGCCTTGGGACGTCCTCCCAACATGAAAGGATCTGTGTAAATGCAATTTGTTGTTGTTAAATTTGAACAGGCCAAAACTAAGCAAAAATTCCGAGCCTCTGGTTTATCCAAATGGATTCCTCCCCAGTGCACCGCAGATTGAGCGGAACAAGCATTAATCTATTACTGACTCCTAGCTGTATGTCTACTGCAGAAGAGAAGCAAGACTGGGCCAGAACACAAAACAGTCCAGCAGAGCTCAGACACAGCGGGGTCAGGAACAGGTGGTGGGATTTGCTATGCTTGTGTGTCTCTCCTCCTCACCTTTAACCACTGCTCTGCCTGATCCTTGCTCTGAAGTCCCAGCACGATAACATCGGAATTGACGGGCGTGATCTTCAGTGTGTGCTCCTTCTTTTTCACTTGCTTCTCTTTGTGCACCACGCTGCATCCGATCAGACTCACGTCCAGCTGCGGATTCTGGTCCTTTGAGCTTTTGTAGCACTGGAGAGGAGAGCGAAGAGAAGCAGATTGTTAACACTGGCCATTGAAGGACCGGCCTTAAAGGCTGTGGTTTTTTTTTTTTTGCTTGTTACTTTTTAGTAGCTAGGAATAAATGCCAAACTCCCAACATCGGATTTACGGTGTCCCCGATTTGGATACACATAGGATTAATTCAAGGAAAGACTAAATAGGAGTTGGAGTTGGACCAGGAGGGTTTGGATGAAGCCACTCACTTGCCTCTATAAGGCACCAGGTGCAATGAAGCAACTTGCCAGTTTTGCTGCTTTTGCACCTGCATAATTAGCCCGTGTCCAAGTTACAGCAAATACTTGCTTCATGTGTACTCAGCCATGTGGCTTACAATATATTCCCTAACGCAGCTCATGTGCTGTTTCCTTGGCCTGACTGGGTCCGTTCTTCCAAAGAAAAAGCCCCGAGGAATCGTACCAATATTTCCAGAGGTTGTATCGTAACCCAGCTGATGATGTCTAGTAAAGGCGCATCTGAAAGAATGATACATTGAGATAGATCTCAGCCAATATTATTTGTTTGACGCCTTTATCGCAGAGGATTTTCCCTTGCCCTTTCGCTAGTCTTGGCCTGTCAAATCATTAGGTCTAGAGATCGCAAAAGGCGTTCAGGATTGTGGATGATCTTTAGATTTGTTACGCTTTTCATAATCGGGATGAAAATTGTAACCCGGGCCATTGTTAATTTACAAAGCTGTTAATTAACGCTGGTGTTAATTAGCACGTCTTTGACTTTGAAAAAAAATGGCCCACGCAGTGGGTGGAGAATTGAGACATCAAATTGTCCATAGTTCAAACTCCATACGACTCCCTTCTCCCCCCCAACATTTTGCGTGGGTTGAAGCCAGACTACCAACTGAGGCATTGGAGTGGCGGGTGACGAGATACTTTTGTTGAGTTAAGCCAGTATCTCATAAGCCAACAAGTCAAGTGTCGGGGGTGGCTGGGGAGGGAAGATGGATACCCACGGACCGACCATCAGTCAACGTCTTTAGTCATCAATGGGGGTGCCATTATTCTATGCTGTGATCATTAACACCAAAGTTAGTCATCGTCAGTGGCAACTAACACATCACACGTCACCCTATATTTTTCAGTGACGTGCCAGTATTGTTCCATTTCCATCTGTACAGTGACTTACTAAGAGTTTGTTGTCTTTAATGACACACAGCTGTTTGGCCCACTGTCCCAGCCACTTCTTGCGCCACAGAAAAGCACAGATCCGAGCGTCCTTCATCAGCTCTATGGAGGCCTCCGGTGAAGGCCACTGGTGGGTCATCGATTTCCCCTTCGTGTTTTCCTCCTCGTCATATGACTCATAGGAGCTACTGACAGCGTCAACGTCATCTGCAATTAACACATCAGCAGCCGTGTTTGACGTGGTCCGGTTTCTGTGCAGTTATACAATAATCCTCGCATTTGATATGGCGTTTTTCACGTCTTCGAGACGTCTCAAAGCGCTTCACAGAATACACTGTAAAGTGGAGTGACTGCATGTTTTGTGGACGAAACGCGGCAACCAATTGCGCACAGCAGCGTCCCACAAACAGCCGCGGATTGAGTGACCAAACTTTTTTTTAAAGTGTTTATTATCCCTGGAAAAGGGATCCGTCAATCGACTAACAACCGGCTTCCTACTGACTGCTGGTAAACAGAGGCATGTGGAGTAAGAAAACTTGCCCAAGGTTTCGCCCTGCCGGGAATTGAACCCGGGTCCACTGGCTTGCGAGGCGAGTGCTCTAACCACTGAGCTACAGGGCTCCACAACTTTCAGACAGATCTCACATCTCCCCCTCTCCCTTGCTCGGTGTCCATCCCCGTCACAGAATAGCGTTCCGAGACGTTACCCTGCGTGAAGGACGCAATATAAACCCAAGTTATTGTTGTGAAAAAAAAGCCATTTGCATCACAAACAGCCATGAGGTGAGTGACAAATTAATATGGTCTTAAAGTCATGGTACAGAGTGAAACCTTCTGGTTTCCAAAAAAGAAAATTGCGTCATTAAGTTCTCACAAATGTTCCCACAACAAATACTGTACTTGGCTGGGAGGCACTGACACACATTTTAACACATTGTTATTGCTAAGTATGAAGCATGCGTTGTTGCTAGGACATACCAATATTGACAGTATCGTATGGCTCAGCCTCCTCATAATAGCCTTCAATAGACTCAGCCCTGCTCAGAGAAAATGGTTCTTTGTCCGTTATCTGTGAACAAAGCAAAATAAACACATCACTAAATCCCGCGGCTCTATTACATGCAGAGATCATGTTAATTTCATACACACACACACACACACACACAAGCACATCACTGTGAAAACAGTATAGCATAAATGATCAGAATAGCCGCTGCATTTGGTATAACAATAACCTTCGCATTTGATATTCACATCTGATCACGTCGTTGAGACGTCTCAAAGCGCTTCACAGAATATACTAAAACATGTAGTGACTGTATATTTGTGGGCGAAACGCGGCAGCCAATTGCGCACGGCAGCGTCCCACAAACAGTCGTGGATTGAGTGACCAAATTATTATTATTAATTTTTGGTGCCTTTCATGTTGGGAGGACATGTCAAAGCACTTTGCAGGATTTACTGTCAAGGGTTGCGACTATGTATTTGTAGGCGAACGCGTATACTCCACATGGGTTGGTATATTTGTTTGAAAGGAACAGTCACTCGGCCCTGACTTGAGTGTCCATATAGTGTGTATCAGGAAAGGGTTAGATCAAAGGGGTTGTTTCACTGACATGTGGCATCTATTATTGTGCAGGACCATCACGAACAATAATGGGCAGATAAAAGCTTGTAAAGTGGCCCCCATTTTCAAGGGGAAATGTTTGATAAGACACTTTCCATGTGATTGCAAACACACAGGGCAACAACGTATGTCATGTCAAAAACACTTAATCACATCACTTGTGTGTGACGCCAGCTTGGTAAAAGGGAGTATTCCTCGCTCCCTCCCCAGATAAGGGAGCACTTGATAGATCATGTTGTTCACAATGTCGGCATAGCTCTGAAATGTTCCAAAAACAGAGCGCGCTGCAGGGTGCAAGAGCAACAATAATAATAATCCTTACATTTCAACCCGGGAGCATGTCTCAAAGCGCTTCACAGGATATATTGCCAAGTGCGGTGACTGTGAATTGTGTAGGGGGACCAGTAATAATAATAATCCTTGCATTTGATACAGCGCCTTATCACGTCTTCGAGATGACGTAAAGTGCTTTACAGGATACGACTGTATACTTTGTGGGCGAAACGCGGCAGCCGATTGTGCACCGCAGTGAGTGTCCCACAAACAGTCGTGGACATATTTCTGTGCCCAAATTGGCTGACACGTTCGCCTACAAAATACACGGTCACTGCACTTTACTGCAAGGCGTGAGGTGCTTTGAGATGTCTCACCCACGCGAAAGACACTGTATCAAACACAAGGATTGCTGGCACCTGGTACATCAGATCCAAATCATTAGTGTCAATGATTTAACTGTAACTCACAGAGCTCACAGTCGATTCCAAGTGGATGGACTGTAAGAGTTTATCTCCAACACTTCACCCCATTACAAAAATCACAATTTGTTTGAAACAGATGCCACGATGCACAAGTTATCTATACTATTTTCGGCCAATGTGTTCATTTCCATTTAAACCGCAGCAAGAAGTTGCTTCCTAGTTCCAGTTGAAAATGATTAAAGATGAAATGAAAATTATTATTTTCCCAACGCACTGAGCATCTGAAACAGAATGGGAGCCTAATGTTTTTGGCATTAAAATCCTTTGGAGAGCTGCATTTCCTTTGCATGTTGGGAGTTTACGAATGTGTTTTCCATTAAGGAATCTCTGCACAAACCATATTCTGCTAAAACTAGAATACTCTGTTCTGCGAAACCAAGAGTAATAAAGAACCTATTATCACCCATCGTGCCCACGTTCTAGCTACAGATGTTATCTCAAGAGGGCAAATAAGGTAGCTCAAAGGGGTTTTCTTCGAATGAGCCCCATTTAAGTGGGTCACATGGATTCAATTAAATGCCTTATTAAGTGTCTGACTTGTGGTTTCCTGAATCATACCCTAATATAGCTTGAGATCCTAAAACATGCGCTTTTTTTTCTTGCCTGGGCGGACATGTCCCCGGTTAAGAAGTAAACTGCTTTGTCTGACAGATGTTTTTCTTTGCAGAGGGCACCTTGTTAGTGTTACAGCCAGGAGGTGACTGTGCTGGTGAGAACTACCAAGGGACCAAGTTCTGGCACACTACAGCGCTTCTCGGAGGAGTCAGCTGGAAATCAAACGCCTTTAATAATCCAGCTTGGTGCAGATAATGCTCGTTGAATATTCAATCGCAAGGGAACCTTGATCTTGTGAAAATAAGAGGTTTCCAAACTTTTTCCGCATGATCTCATAGAAATTCCACTCTGGCCAGTAAATGAGGCTAACCGTTGTGCCCTGGTGCTACCCCATTTGGTTTACTGGGCAAACACATCGACTTCGTTCTGGAGTGAGCCAGCAAAGTGGTTTGATCTCTGGTCTGTCTTAACTGAGCTGATCCCAGCCAGGAGAACAGGAGGAGCGTTACAATTGGACTCACCACCCCCTGTGCTAGAAATGGGAATTAAATCCAACTTGGTTCCTTCTCCTGATCACTATTCAGTGAGTCCTTGTTGCAACATACGTGAGTGTGGTTATCACGTGTGATTGCCCTCATGGTTGGATCATCTGCCAATACTCAATCCCTGAACTCCTAACTGAAGAATAGTACTATATGTAATAATAATAATCTTGTATTTGGTATAAAGCCTTATCACGTCTTCAAGACGTCTCAAAGCACTTCACAGAATATACGGTAAAGCAAAATTGACTGTATATTTTGGGGTGAAACGCGGCAGCATTTCTGGGGGTAATAAGCCCTTCAAAACAAAAACAAATGTAATAAAATTATAAGAATTTGGTCACTCAATCCACGACTGTTTGTGGGACGCTGCTGTGCGCAATTGGCTGCCACGTTTTGCCCACAAGATATACAGTCAATTCACTTTACAGTATATTCTGTGAAGCACTTTGAGACGTCTTGAAGACCTGATAAGGCGCTAAATCAAATGCAAGGATTGTTATTATTATTATGATTATGATTATTATAAAGCATAAGGCAATTGAATGAAAAATAAATCATCATAAAATAGCTCCAAGCAGCATAACAGAGAGGTGACACAACCCGCCGGGAACTGTAATAAATCTTTCTTACTGGCTAACGCAAGCCATGGTCAGCATTTGTGACTGGGGTTGTTTAATCATATTTCATTCCGCGTTGCAACATATTCTGCTTCAAACGCATGCAATGGGTTTTGAACTGAAAAAAAAAAGTTCTTTTGTGTTTTCTAAACCCGTGAAATTCAGAAGAAAACTGGCTCTCATGTCACTGTGGCATTGTTACACCAGGGGCGAGGCTGATCCACATCTGGACATGGCTGACACGCCAATGTAGTCCTGGGAACGTGCTGTGTTGTTGGAGGTGCTGTCCTTCAGATTAGACTTTAAACCCAAATCCCGTCTGTCTGTTCGGGTCGATGTTAAAGATCCCATAACACAGTTCGAAAAGACAAGGGAGTCTTTTCCTGGTTTCCCCCCAAATCAAATTGGTCATTCATTTCAAAGCTGTTTGTGGAGCTGCGCAACTGGGCTGCTGCATTAATAATAATACTTCAATAATGCACAGTCAGTACTGTTTTTCTGTGGTAAAGCCGGGTGTCTGATACATTCGGAAGACCATCACCGTTGCATGAGAGTCTCCAAACCAAGCTGAGATTTCCACGCATCCCCACCTACACATGTAAATTCCCAGAGATAGATTGTTGGAATCAGATGCGCTCTCTCTCTCTGTGCGGACACATCCTGCTTACCTAATTCCGGAAGGTATTAGGCGCAGGTTGTCAAGAGCCAAGGCTTGGGGGGACACCAGAGTTTGCGTTGGGGAAGCTGCTGGAGTCTAACCAGCTAAAACTGAATGGCTTGCCATTGAAGTCAGTCCACTTGACAGTGAATGCTGAGACTTGAAAGGTACTATATCAAATCCAAAGCATTCTGATTTTTTTTCATTTCGCTTTCGAGAGGAAGGGTTAATCTTCGAAGCTATTGAGGAAATGGATGTGGCGACAGATGTAAACCATGATCTTTGACAGCACTTTAGCAAGTGGAAAATCCCTGCGAAAACGGCCAAAAGATGTGAAGTATAAACACTGAAACCCTGGGAATATGCCACACAGCTGAAAAGGAAATAACTCCCATGAAAATTCTGCACGGTGCACAAACAAGAACTTTCAAGTCTTGCAGAGATGTGTCAACGAAAACTCATCCCATACAGCAAAGAATTTGCTTGTGGGGGTCCATTGAAGAGACAGTGTAGACATATATATACATACTTATGCTGATAATAATAATCCTTGCATTTGATGTACCCCCTTATCACGTCTTCGAGACGTCACAGAATATACTGCGAAGTGTTGTGACTGTATATTTTATGGGCAAAACGCAGCAGCCAATTGCGCACAGCAGTGTCCCACAAACAGCCGTGGATTGAGTGACCAAATTGTTATTATTATTATTGATTAAAAAAAAATTTTTGAAGGGATTATTACACCCGGAAAAGCGATCCCACAACTAACAACTAGGTTCCTACTTACTGCGAGGTAAACAGAGGCGTGTGGATCAAGAAAACTTGCCCAACGTTTCGTCCCGCCCGGGAATCAAACCCAGGTTCTTTTGCTTACGAGGCGAGTTCTCTAACCACTAAACTACAGAACTCCACTGATCGTGGCGGCTATTTGCAAACATCTGTGTAATGCTACATGAAGGACCATGTAAAAAAATGACAGTCATTGTTCATGAAGCAAAACAATATTTGTAATGCTGTTGAGGTTACATCTGGTGCATTTAATTCATTCATCATCTTAAATTGTCCTGGCAACCATTTTAAGGAAAGGAACCAGTCTGCACATAATGTATTTTTTATTATTCCAAAAAAAATCCACTAAATTTAAAATGATCAAGACAGAAAATGAAATAATTCATGTCAAAAGTTACCCCAGAGAGAAGTTCAAGTACAGCACCCCATAGCCTCTGGCACAAATACGGCAGGACCAAAGCACTGAACTTATCCCATCAATAAAATGTTCATTTTAATTGGTCCGAGAAGCTACGAATCGCCACATGTATCTGTAATGACCCCAAGTAAGAAAAGCCAGGGCTTGACACCGTGGGCTTTAAAATTATACACTTGGAACAAAGCCTGTAGATTCGGTCGGCACAGATAAGATATGTCGAAATGATGTGCTTCCCTTGAAAAGCCATTTAATGTTACTGTAAGGCCATTTAAGTTCTGAAAGTTGTTAATGTTACTGTAAGTGGCAATCTGCCCAGCTAAACATCCAACCGTAAAACAGATTCCAAGTCACAGGACTCAACGTTGGCTGAAAAGTTGGGAAGTTGCTCATTAGCCCCACAAAATATACAGTCACTACACTTCCCGTGAAGCGCTTTGAGACGCCTCGAAGACATGATAAGAAGCTATATCAGGTGCAAGGATTATTATTATTAGAGTAAAAATTATTGTGATAAAATAGTTTGTGTGTTCCGTGTCAATATTTCCCTTTCCCTCTCAACCCCCCCCACCCTCACCCACCCCCACCAAGTACTTATGACAAATGATTGAATAAAAGTCAGGGCTTTTACTCGCATCTTTCTCAATATAAACCCATTTCAACCAGAGCTTCTTTAATGGGTAAACTATTTAATTAATTTACACTAATTAGGTTAGTTTATTGTGCTTTATGCCTCCACCAAAGAAAGTCAATGGGAAATTGATAGGCAAATATTTTAGAAATTTGCAGCACAGATGGAGGCGAGTCAGCTCATCATTTTGTGGAGACTTTTTATCTGATCTTACTCCACTATTTTATGCACTTTAGGAGCCCTGCAGCTCAGTGGTTAGAGCACTCGCCTCGCGAGCGAGAGGACCCGGGTTCGTTTCCCGGGGCAGGGTGAAAGCTTGGGCACGTTTCCTTACTCCACACACCTCTGTTTATCAGCAGTGAGTAGGAACCCGATTGTTAGTCGATTGGAGGATCGCTTTTCCGGGATAATAATCCCTTAAAAAAAAACTAATAATAATTTGGTCTCTGAATCCACGACTGTCTGTGGGACACTGCTGTGCGCAATAGGCTGCTGCGTTTCGCCCACAAAATATACATTCAATTCACTTTACAGTGTATCCTGTAGCTCAGTGGTTAGAGCACTTTGCAAGTGAGAGACCTGAGTTCAATTCCAGGCAGAGGGCGAAACCTTGGGCAAGTTTCCTTACTCCACACAGAGCCTAATAATAATCCCTCCAAAACCACAAACAATAATAAATTGGTCATTTTCAATCTACGACTGTTTGTGGGACATTGCTGTGTGCAATTGGCTGCCGCGTTCGCCCACAAATATACAGTCAATTCACTTTACAGTGTGTTCTGTGAAGCGCTTTGGGACGTCCTCCCAACGTGAAAAGCGCTATATCAAATGCAAGGATTATTATTATTATTATCCTGTGAAGCACTTTGAGACGTCTCGAAGACCTGATAAGGCGCTGTGCCAAATGCAAGGATTATTGTTGTGATGTTCGAAGGAGGCTGAATTTATGAATTCCTATTCGGAGGAGTCCTACTCCGTTTAGAAATCAGCACTCAGGCGGTTAAGGCAAGTCGACAGAGCCACGATGGGGCTTTGCTATTTCATGTGTGTGAATTCGAGGGAATTCAGACTCTGGTTCCAGATGATAAGTGCTGCTGCTTATTTTCCCACAGTCTCCGCCAGTGTCTTTCACAGCAGCTGTAACTCCTTCAGTTGGTGATATGGTCTGTATCATGTGACACGTGACCTGCACTTCATCCGTCTGATCTCTCCGCAGCACCGTTATCCAACGTGGCAGGATTTACAGAGACATTTTAATTCCTTTTTCCAATGTTGCTTAGGTGCTCCAGGCACAGCAGTTAATACGTAACTCATGAACTGCCAGCAATGCAGATATCTGTCCTGCGGTTATTAGCTCTTCTGCAGTTGCGTCTCAGTGGACAAGTCTCTCCAAATAATGGACCCGGCGAAAGAGTTGGCACAGTGACCGAAATGTCTATTTTTAGCTTGAAATTTTTACATTTCCAATAAAACCAGGATTAGATTGAGCAAGCTGCAGAGAATGTTTGGTGAAACTGCTTCAATATATTACGTCTTCCGGGTTGAAATGATTTAACCGTGATCATTTAAAACAGTCCAGTATAATATAGAGGGGTCAGTATTAGGTTTCCATACACTCTGAAGCCTTCAGTCAGAGCTCTGCCTTTGTAAACATCAACAACTGAGGTTTATAAATTCTGGTGAATCTGCAAATACCAGGGATTAAAGGGTTACATTACGAGGACAGGACAGGTTCATAAACTTGGTCTCCATTCCCTTGAGTTTAGAAGGTTGTGGGGTGATCTGATTGAGGTTTGTAAATAATAAAAGGATTGGATAGGGTAGCTACAGAGAAACTATTTCCTCTGGTGGGGGAATCCAGAACAAGGAGGGCATTATCTTATAATCAGAGACAGGCCATTTAGGAGTGAAATCAGGAGGCAGTTTTTCACCCAAAGGCCAGTGGAAACCTGGGACTCTCTCCCCAAAAGGCTGTGGATGGTGGATCCATTCACATCTTCAAGACTGAGGTGGATAGATACTTGTTAGGCAGGGTATCAAGGGATATGGGGCAAATGCGGGTAATTGGAGTTGAGGTACAAAGCAGCCATGATCTTATAGAGTGGCGGAACAGGCTCAAGCGGCTGAATGGCCTCCTCCTGTTTCTATGTTTAGATGCACATTGCTTACGCATCTCAGCGTTTTAAAGATTGAGATCATGTCCTTCTTCAATCTTTTCTCCAAGGAAAATAAATTCAGTTCTGCATTTTCATAACTTGGGAGACCTAAGCCTCAGAGATGTTCCTTCTGTCCCACAATTTGCTCCACCTTCTCTCTTAAAGACGGTGACTTGTAGCTAGATATGGCGGCCCGCTGGCCCCAGCTGGCCGAGTGTTTGTTCTTCATACACAAAGCTGGCGAGTTTGTTAGTGGTGGAGGAGGAAGTAACGCAGCTGAGCTGAACTCTCTCCATGTAGTTTCCAGTGGGATGCACGAGGGTAGCAATTGGGACTCATTTCCATTGGCTCTAGTGCAGGATTGTTAAAGCCATTAAGATCAGTAGGAATCAAACCAGCGTTTTTTCCAGATTTCTACACTTTAGAACCACACTGGACGCTAGATTTGTTCATTGAGCCATCAAGGCATTTAATGCTTTCTGCTCCTTTCTGAGTCCTCTCCAATCATTTCAGCTCCCCTGAACTTTTTTTCTTTGTTTAGTTACGCTGCTTTCTACTGACAAAAAAAGTGTGCTTCAACTACAGTATTTGTATTTCCAATATTAACTGTTTAGTTAAATGAATTTGAATGAAATAAGTTCCATGTAAAGCAGAGCGTAGATGCTCACCAGTTTCACATCACTGGTGCGTGTGAAACAATTGGTCAGTCTATGGAGACAAGAACTTCCACAAACCTGCCGGCACTTTGTGGTTATGTATTAACAATAATAATAATAATCCTTGCAATTGATGTAGTGCCTTATCACATCGTTGAGACATTTGTATTTTGAGTTTTGATAATACGGTCAATAATACTCCTGGTAGAAAGAGTCAGTGAGGATAGAGAGATCTGTTCACCTCGGGGTAAGTAGGAACACGGTTGTTAGTGGAGTCCTGTAGCTCAGTGGTTAGAGCACTCGCTTTGCAAGTGAGAGACCTGAGGTCAATTCCAGGCAGAAGGCGAAACCTTGGGCAAGTTTCCTTACTCCACACGCCTAATAATAATCCCTCCAAAACCAAAAACAATAATTAAATTGGTCATTTTCAATCTACGACTGTTTGTGGGACATTGCTGTGCGCAATTGGCTGCCGTGTTCGCCCACAAATATACAGTCAATTCACTTTACAGTGTGTTCTGTGAAGCGCTTTGGGACGTCCTCCTGACGTGAAAAGCGCTATATCAAATGCAAGGATTATTATTATTATTAGTCGATTGGAGGATTGCTTTCCGGGGGTAATAATCCTTTTTTTAAAGGATGTGGTCACTCAATCCACGGCTGTTTGTAGGACACCTCTGTGCGCAATTGGCTGCCGCGTTTCACTCATAGTCAATCCACTTTACAATATTCTGTGAAGCGCTTTGAGACGTCTCAGCAACGTGATAAGGCGCGACACGAAATACAAGGATTATTATTATTATTATTATTATTATTACTATTATAAAGAGCACGGATTTAGAACTCACAAGTTTTGCAGGTGGAAGCTCAGGCAAGCTCTTCTGAGGTGCAGGAGTGATCTTTCCCAAATCGATTCCGTTAGACATATCTTCGCGGTCCAAGCCTGGTGAGACAACGCCACACAAAGAAGCCAACAGTCAAATACAAAGGTCTTTCCAGAAGTGATTCAGAGCAACATGAAATACGCCTCCAATTTTACACAGCAATTTTACAACGTGACACGCTCTTTAAATCTAATCAGCTGGTTGATAAGAAGGTTGCAACACTTGAGTGAAGTTATAATACTTATAAAATCAAGAGAGACAGAGAAGGCAAAATGTTAGGTAATAATAATAATAATAATAATCCTTGCATTTGATATAGTACCTTTACATGTCTTTTGAGACGGCTCAAAGCGCTTCACAGGATATACTGTAAAGTGGATTGACTGTGTGTTTTGGAGTGAAACACAGCAATTAATAATAATAATAGGAGAGTTAATAATAATATTAATATTATTAACAACAACAACAACAATAATAGAAGAAATGGGTTCTAGAAATGATACATAAATGTAAATGCTAGGTCTTATTTCAAAGATCAAAGTACCTGATATTATTATAATGTTCCTGAATTATCTCTCTGGTTTAAATGAACAAAGAGGACAAGTGAAAGACACAGAGCGATGGATCGCCTGTAGTTGAAATGAAACTTCAGTTGCACTCTGGGATGTAGCCAAATGGATTAATACATTAATACAGCACTTAAATGCATAGACAGGATAAGAAGAAATGTCATTGAGGAATATTGAGGAAATGGGGTTATAATCCCGGATGCAGGAAAGAAGTTCAGTGCTACTTGGAATGTAATAACTGAGGGATGTTATCCTGTTCTTGTCTCAATACCGGTAGGAATCACTGATCTGGAGTTTTCAGAAGTTGAGCAAAACTCTCTTGCCACAAGTCCAAATAGGTAGATCCTGAGCACATTATACACCATTTCGTACTTGCCACCAACATGTTCTCAAGAAAGGCTTTCTAGTTAGATTATAAAGGAATATAATAATAAATAATAGTAAACACTTGCATTTGCTATAGCGCCTTATCACGTCATCGAGACATAGTGTAAAGTGAATTGACTGTGTATTTTGTGGGAGAAACACGGCAGCCAATTGCAGTGTCCAACAAACAGTCGTGGATTGAGTGACGGAATTATTATTTATTTATTATTATTATTTTTGGAGGGATAATGACCCCCGAAAAAGCAATGTGCCAATCGACTAACAACCAGGTACAACTTAACAGGTAACAACTTACTGCTGGTAAGCAAAAGTGTGTGGAGTAAAGAAACTTGCCCAACGTGTCTCTCTGCCCGGAAATGGACCCCAGGTCCTCGCGCCTGCGAGGCGAGGGCTTTAACCACTGAGCTACAGGACTCCTCAAAACCATGCAAGGTTTTGAAGAATAATTTACTGGGCATGTTAAGTTGATTTAAATGCTGTTACTCTGTGGGATTATCGGCTCTTTCTGTGTCACCAAAGGGTTAGTTATAGCTGCTTAAGTATGCGAGATAAAAATGACAATCGGCTGTCAGCTTTTACAGTTTGGACTGTGAACGCCTTGATGTTTGCCAAGTTCAAGCTGAATTTCAGGAAATGAGAGCAGGGCTGCTGCTCAAACGTGTCAGCCTGCGCTGCCAGAATCAAAATAGGTCACTCGTCTAAAGTTCTTGACAGAGTTCACGGAACTCTACTCTTTCGATGGTGAACGCTTAAGATTCAAAGAAACGAAATCGTAGGATATCGAAAATAATGAACAGAACGGAACTCTTGTCTTAAATTCAGGGCTGATTCACATTCATTGAAACAGCTTCTGTTTTAGAATTAGCTGTGCTCGTCAAAGGGCATCGGATTTTGATGGTAATAAATAGAAAATTTCCCATTTAAGAAGATAAGATTTTGCTGGAGAAAAAAGACCAAGGTCCATCGAGTTCGCCTTCCACCATCCTGGCAGTCGCTTGACATGTCGTGCCCCAAACTACATACTGTATCTATCCCCAGATATTATTTTCTAGTAGAAATCAATCTCATTTGTTCTTGAAACAAACAACATTTTCTGTTTCCACCGGCTAGGGAGCCTGTTCCATATAAGGCATAACTTACTCCCAGCTTCCTCTACCGACTTTGATTAAATCGTTGAGAAAACAGCAAAAGTCTTAGACAAAACTGCAGTTTCCTTTACCTACACTGCCCCAAGATCAGAAGATTATCAACAACAACTTGCACTTATATTGTGCCCTGCTGTAGGTGTATGTTGTATATGTTGTAAGTGCACAAACAGCCATGAAGTGAATGATCAATTGTATCTGGGAGGATTATTGGCCATCGCAAGATCACAAGATTGGTTTGGATGAAGAAGGCTCTTCAGGCCATCCATTCTCATCTCTCTAGAACACCCACTCTACTCTTCCCCATCCCTGCCTCAAGCTGCTTTTCAAATGAGTCTAGTGCCCTGACCTCTACCACCTTTCTTGACAGTTGTTACAGGGTCAGCTTTTACACAGACTGTTGAAGAAACAAAGTTGACGTGACCTTTTCTCATTCCAACCTTTCTTACGGTCTTAGAAGCTCAAGCTCCCCTGGTTGGGGTTTGAACCCTGCAATTCAGAGGCAAGAGCACTACTGAAAGAGTCAACAAAGACCACCGCCAGAGGTTGTATTGAAGCAGTTCTTTGTCTGTTCTGCAATGATGGGGATTTTCAGTTGAACTGGTGAAATTGTGCTGGCTCTGAATTCTCAGCATTGTGTGGGCCCGATTCACCTCTAGTGCAAACTGCAGCGTTCTCTAAGATGCAACAATTAACGCAACAGTTAATTGAAGATTCCCTTCTGCTGTCAACAGCTGTATGAATCCTAATTTCTCCTGGTCTTTGAAATGGGATAGAGTAATTATGGTTAACTTGGACAGTATTTCCATGCCTTCTCCCGCCCCCACCTCCACCCACCCACCTCGCCCCCAATACACACAGAAACGTACAGCCACAAATTGATTTGATTAACCCCACAAATCACAGGGCAGATGGGGAGCTCTTGCTTGATCTGGTTTTATTGATGCTGAGAAAGGAAGAGACTTCAGCCACAATATGTGAACGCTGCCTGATCCGTGCCAAACCATCTGCTTTGTGGGACAGAAGATGAAAGCCAATCCAAACACTGGGCTTTTACTGTCAACGAAAAGAGAATTACCCACTGACCACACTTATCCTTGCTGAGGTCCAACGTAAAACATGGACGGTGGATTTTTTTGGATCGAGCTTGCTCTTGACCGACGTGACGTGCCACAAATGTGCACGACCGCATCCGAGAACCACCCCCGGGACAGAGGTCTGGACGTATTGAAACCTTTAGCAGATTCTCTTTGTTGATAGGGAGAATCTGGAGGAGCTACGCCATACAATCATCCAATGTTTCAGCATCTAAGTAGGCGGTTCAGGCCATCATGCCTATTCTGTGTTGGTTCTCTAGTTCCACTCACCGTCCCCAGTCTCACTTGCGCTTTTATTATTCTATCTTTTCAACAACAACAGAAACATTTGGTTACTCAGTCCACGACTGGTTGTGGGACGCTGCTGTGCGCAATTGGCTGCCGTGTTTTACCCATTAAATACACAGTCAATTCACTTTACGCTATATCCCGTGAAGTGCTATGAGACGTCTCAACAACATGATAAGGCGCTGTATCAAGATGCAAGGATTATTATCATTATTATTAAATAATTACCATCAAAAGCTTTGCCAGCAGAGCCCGAGGAGATTGATTCCTGAATGAAATAGCTTGATGAAGAAAATGATAATCTTCGAACCGCAAGTAGCAAGCCAGAGAGACGTGCAAACCCACTCATAGCAATAATAATGATCCTTGCGTTTGATATAGCACCTTAAATGAACAGGATCTCCTCACCTTTCTCTGGTGTTTTCTTCTCTGACAAAGATGTCTCCTCAAGTTGAACCTTGTTCATGTAGATGTACTCTTCCTCCCCAGCTGAAACTTAATGACATAAGTAAACAGGTTCAGATTTTCCTTCCAATGATGGAATTACGCAACAATATAACATTTAACGCCAGCTGAAAATTGGACTAATTGGTGTTTCCACTGGTTGGGGAGTCAGGGACTAGAGGCCAAATTTGGGAATTAATGGGATGTGGAATTCCTAGCCAAGTAAGGTAGTAGAGGCAGTTTCCATTGTGGGTTTCAAGAGCTGTATGAAGAATAGAGGCCCAGCTCAAATTAGTTTACAGTTCGCAGATCCTAATTTTAGAAATTCCACTGTTGGGTTTTGACAGAAAATACACACATACATAACAAAACTGAAACTGTTATTGTGTACGCCTCAGGGCTGGAAATTCCCACACACCATCCAGCCTCAAGCAAACCATTCCAACACTCTGGGACGCTACCCTGAGTGAGGAACACTACATACATGCAAGTTGTTGTTGTTGTTGTAGCCTGCGGGAACTTCCTATACAGCCCTAAAGAGCTAAGTTTAGGGTTAAAGTTACAAAGCAACTCACTTACTTATAAGGAATGTCATTTCTTCCCACCTCTACCCTATCAATGTTTCTTTTATCTGACTTTCTTGCTACAGCTGATCTTTTGTGGCTTATTTGGAGCACGTCCCTACCCTACTGACTTAGCTGTTTGTCTGTACCACAGATGCACTTCATTCCTTTTCAACGTTTATTTCCTCTCCTTAAAAATGTTTCCCACAAATGTGAAGCTATCCCAGTTAAGTTCAAAATCCTCAACTTACGATGCACTGAATAGCTTGCAAATGATATCCTGTGCGTATTCAGAGTGTATTTAATAATAATAATCCATTGATACAGCGCCTTTCACGTCAGGTGGATGTCTCAAAGCGATTCACAGGATATACTGTATAGTTTTTTTTGTGGTCAGCCGGGTGTCTGGCACACACGGAAACTCATCACCGTGTTTTAAGGATATCCAAACCAAGCTGAGAATTCCATCACCGGTGTGATGACTTTGCTTATTCAACCAAAGATCTAATGAAGATAAATCTGGCCACTTCCAACTTGAGAGAATTCAATGGATACTAAACAAGACACAGCCACAGAATATCCTTAGTTGTGATCCGAAGACATGGAATGAGATATGAATACTCACCAGAAGAACTGATGACATTGTGAAGCAGGTCTGATAAGACGCATTTCTTGGCTAAGGCAGTGAGGCTGAGGCTCTCGTTATCCAATAACTTCAAGAAGATCTCAAGCTCTGCAAGCAGCTGATCCAGTGCTGAAAGGAAACAGAAACAATGAGCAAAGTTTATACAATTCCATAGAGTGTTATGGCACGGAAACAGGCCTTTTGGTCCAACTAGTGTGCGCCGGTAAGTATGGAGAAAAAATTGACATTGATAAAAAGTAAACCATAACAGGACTTGTATGGCTTAGGAGTTCCTGATGATGTTCCGATAGTGTCTTAACAGAACCAAACATTTGACTGAATCATTGGTGCAAAGGAAATATGTTCGCATTCCGATACAAAGTGTGCCATGGTAATATGCCCCAAAAATCATCAGTTCTGAGGAAAGGTCATAGAACTGAAACCTTAGCTAATTTCCTCTCTCCATAGATGCTGCCTGACCTGCTGAGGGTTCCCGGCCACTTCTGTTTTTATACCAAATTTCCAGCATTTGCAGTACTTTGCTGCTTTGCCTTGAATATCTACTGTGTTGCTCGGTGTATAATGTGCAATATAATGTCTTTATGGAAAAATTAACAATTAATAAAATAATCTTTTTCATTGGCAAGAGAGGCTTTCAAGTCGAATGTCACAAAGTCTTCCCCGCTTCCCCCGTACAGTTAAGGGTTCAAGCCCCATGCTGAGACCTTGAACCTACAGCTCAAACTTTGAACTCCAGTACAGTCCTGGGGGAGCAATACATTGTCAGAAGTGCCGTACTTTTGGATGAGACGTTAAACTGAGGTCCCATCTGCCTGTTCAGGTAGAAGCTAAAGATCCTGTGACACCATTTGAAAAGAGGAAAGTGTTTCTCCTGGCGTGTTGGCCAACTATCCCCCAGATAAAAACTGGTCATTCACTTTATAGCTGCTTGTGGGACACCTGCTGTCTGCAAATTGTCTTCCTCATTGGCCTACAAATAGACAGTCCCTACACTTTACAGTAACTGTTGTGAAGCGCTTTGAGATGAATTGATGATGTGATAAGTTTGACTTAGCGAGTTTCACTGTATTACAGAGTGGAGTGGGAGTCCGTTCGGATGGGAGATGATCAGTGGGGGTACATGTACTGTTGCACTTTACAAGTAGTACAACACATCTTTACACAAACTGGTTGCACTTTGAGAACCTTAAAACATATACAAGTATGTGTTTGTCAGCTGAAAAAATGACGTGCTGAATTACACTGTGGTAAGGCCCAATGCATCTGCGGTCAAACACTGGCAAACATCAGCATTCCTAACTGTGGCCCAGATGTGAGAGGGCGTTTCATTCCCCAGATGGGCCACAGAGTGAGGCTTCCTTCTCGAGCAAGAAATATTATTGGGATCCATTGGGGAATCGGTTTCTCGCAAACCCGTCTTGGCAGAAAGTCTCCTACTTTGTACTTTAAACGCTCCGAGATGTGAGGGCGATGCAATAATCAACTTGTTGATACTCTACTTCCAATCCAACGTGAAAGGATATTGCAGGAAATGGGAATCTCTGCTCCTGCCTTCTTAACAGATTGTCACCAAAGCTTCTGTTAAGTGAGGTTGACAAAAACAACAACCTGCATTTACACAGTGTCCCTCACGTAGGGATGCAACCTGGATTGCTGTCGCCAATTCCAAGGTCCCAAATGACAATGTGGCAGGTGGGGAAAGGGTCCAATCAGTAGTTTGTGAACAAACCTGAACAGCAAAAAAAAGGGGGTAATAATCCTTCAAAAAATAATAATAAATTGGTCACTCAATCCACAAATGTTTGTGGGACAGTGCTATACACAATTGTCTGCCATGTTTCACCCACACAAAATATACAGTCACTATACTTTGGGACGGCTCAAAGACCTAATAAGGCGCTATATCAAATGCAAGGATTATTATTATCAATCATTCATTTTGTTATTTACAAGTTAAGCTTCTCTGCAGCACAAAATTGCAGTTCAGATAGGGGGTCAGGCAACTTAAATGAAAGTTGTCATCAGCACAAGACAAAGCTGGATTGCCTCTATAATTGAGTCCACTGTACGCACTGTATAATGTTTGGCTTCTAACAAGACCACTTCAGTAATCACATGCAACTTGGCTTGCCAGAGGGTGTTATACATAAACATTAAATATTAAATCTCTAAACAAACAACAATTCTGTTCAAAATGGAGATAGAATTCTGATAATGATCACATCATTCCCATACTCTGTGACCTTACACGACCTAGTAATTGCGCTTCAATGACTTTCTGTACCATGAAATGAACAAATAATTGCCATCCATCCTGTTGAACATCTTTTAACCCCGCTCTTACAGAAATAGTGTTTCTAGTTTGATTTGATGGTGTCTTGAACAGAAAAAATCTGAATCGAACCCGGTTCCTCTCGCTTGGGAGGCGAGTGCTCTAACCACTAAGTTACGAGACCTCACTGTTGGTTTGTAGGATATTCGTTGTGCTTGGGGTGTAATGAGAAGAGGCTATTGAGAAAATCAATGCAGCTCCTTCCACTGCTCAACGTAAATTATTAATTGACCAATGATTACTGACTCCCGAGTCCTCAGCATTACAGGTGCAAATCCACTCGGCCCTTGACAGCCACAGTCTCACTTGTGCTTACATCTAGCGACTGACACAGAGCAATAAACTTCACCGTTTAAGGAGATGAAGTGAAGCTTTTGTTTGAGGAAAATAAAGGATTCATGAGCCTTCCCACATGGCTTGTTTCATAATATTGGCAAAGGCTATTTTGAGTTTAAAATATGGAAATGTAAATTAGTGGCAATTTTCGAGGCAAAGGGATTCTTTGTTCCCTGCCAGATAACATCCACCAAAAAGAGTCCAAACAATGAGGTTATTATAGTGGTTACTGTTCAATATTGCAGTGAACAGTCAAGCATCACTCCCGGGTTATCCACTGGGAAATAACTGGAATACGATTCTAACACTGAACATGGACTTTATCTACTGTGAGCTTTTAAAGCACTTTTGTGCTTCACCAACCTGATGTGTTGGGAGATGCGATTTTACCACAAAAGCAGACTCGTTTTGTCGATCTGCAACAACAAAATGGTTTCGTTGAAACAACACAGCAATCTTCTTCCATCCTTTTCCACCAGAGTTAGGGGAAAGTTCAGATTTATTGGGTCTGAATGCCGACCCCCCCGATGAATGGAAGCAGTGTTGATGAAACTATCAAAGCAGCCTACTCAGATCTGTCGATGGGTCACATCAAAATCCTCTTTCTCCGCCTAATAAAATCCATCTTTTGTTCACTTGCCCTCTCAAACCCCTGAAAATTCCCACTTGATTTCTACAGAGGAAAGGATATGCGAAATGCCCTTTACATCTTTTGAACCCAAGTCTCTAATACACATTTTTTTTACCTAATTTCTGAATACTAATCTACTCTAAATCAAACCATCTGCACCAACAATAGTCCAGCTGCAATCCAACACTTGTCTCTTACTAATTGTTCAATGGAACCTATAATAATATATTTGATATAGCTCCTTATCATGTCTTCGAGACGTCTCAAAGCGCTTCACAGAACATACTGTAAAGTGTAGTGACTGTATATTTTGTGGGTGAAATGCAGCAGCCAATTGTGCACAGCAGCGTCCCGGGTCCTTTCCCTTGTGACGCGAGTGCTCTAACCACTAAGCTGCAGGACTCCTTATAAAGTTATGAGCACTTGAGCTCAGTGGTGTGGCACATAGTCCAGGACCGTTCTTCCCAATTTTGCACAGTTCTGTCTTCCAACATAAGAAAAAACCAATATGCTTACCACATAATAAAATGTTCAACCACGGTTAGTCTCAGCTCTGCACTTCACAAATAATCAGACACCCTGCCCAGAAACATTAGTTTTCAATTACACGACTGATTGATAGAATGAAGTGACAGATATCCCAGTTACTCACAGTGACCACCACAGGAAATGGCAGTGTCTTAACCCCATGACGCCAGAAGTTAAGTATTTAATTTCTGAAGTGGGACCACAAGGATGACTATTGTGAAGAAGGTCACACTCTGGTGCTCTCCTACCCTTAGCTCTGGGTCACACTGTTTGATACAGTCTATGGCACAGCCTAAGCTTTATTGGGAACCACTTTGTTATGAATTACGGTGGTTAGGATGGGGAAATAATTTTGTAATGATGATGAAGATTCTGAATGTTGAAGTGAGAAGGCTCATGGAATGTAACTGACGTTTATAATAATAATAATCCTTGCATTTAAAAAAAATAATAATAATAATTTGATCACTCAATCCACTATTGTTTGTGGGACGCTGCTGTGCGCAATCGCCCACAAAATATAGAGTCAATTAATTTTACATTATATCCTGTGAAGCGCTTTGAGACGTCTTGAAGACGAGATAAGGTGCTATATCAAACGCAAGGATTATTATTATAATCCCTGCTCTTTTCCCCCTACCTTTTTATGTACTTCCTCTTCAACCACACAGGCTTGGAGCAACGTTTAGGAATATTCACACTGCCTCTGTCTCCAATCTGCAACTAGACTCCAGGGACACTGTCCAGCCAACAGCCATTGCTGGGGTTTTATAATAAATATATATATGAAGAAAGTAAGTCACTACTGAGTTTGAAAGCGCAGCAGGGAAGCCAATCTACCTTAGCATCTGCTCTTCATACATTGTACATCTTAGAGCTTTTAAACACAAACACCTGCAAAGCTAACAAGCTGCTTCAGGGAGATTGGAGAGTGCAGCAGGGAATTACTATGCATTAAGCCGCCTCTCTGCACATGTACACCTGCCGTTACCTACAGCTCTAAAGTTTACTCTAATACTGTACAGCTTAATGGCTGTGAAATTCTGGCCATCATTAATAATGACACCGGCAGTCAGAGGCTTATGGTCAGAGCTCAGTGGATATATTTGTGGATCCACTGTGCATGGTGATCTGGACTCGCAAGCGAGAGGATCTGGGTTCAAAGCATTAGGCAAGTTTCCTTACTCGTAATAATTCCTTCAAAAAAAATAATAAATTGGTCACTTCAATCCATGATTGTTTGTGGGATACTGCTGTGCAAACTGCTTTCAATGTGCTAAG